AAATAGGTGCTTACAATCTAGGAATTCTGTATCCCATGCTTGGTCTTGTCTAGTTTCGTACTGTGACGTAGTCAAATTGCCACCCATCCCAGTATGAATCTCATCGGGAGTTGGTATCAAAGCACACATAGGGTCAAAGATGCCATTGAACATTCCAGTGTTAGAATTAGGGCTCGAGTTCTCAAGCGCCATTGAGATTTCTAAGCTCAAAGAGTTCTGGTGGTCCAAGATCCGGAAGTCTTCTCCGTTGTTTACAAACTCTGGAAGGGCGATGGTCATCTTAGGAGTTGGAACACTTTGGAATTCTTCCCTACTTTGAGTTTGAGAGGTAGTACGGCCCTGAGATTGTTCGGCGTTTGATATGGGAAGTATTCCAAAGGGCCCGATCCTCGTGAAGTCTTCTGCTTCCTGTCCTTGGTCTTGCAGCTCTCGAAGAAGCCGATCGATATCTAAGCTTGGGGAAGTTGAACAGCACTCGGCTTTCATCTGACTGACCATCGCCGCCCGCTGGGCATCTGTCAAATCCATTAGCATTTGGGCCTAAATGCCTTGGCTTCAGTAAAAGGAACCTGAATATAGCAGCCTGCGGCTGTTTTGATTCTCTTCCACCTCCTCAACCGGTTCTTCCGATTCAAGACTCTGTCGAGCATGTTTGTAGCTGCTTTTTTCATCAAATATGATCGATGGCAGCCACGAATATTTCCGGACGTAACCTTCACATGGAATGTTGAGCCTCGAGCAGTTGTTACACATTGGTTGGCCTAGGTCGCACTTCACGTGCCTTTCTCGGCATGTCACGCAACCCGTGAACTCATGTGTTCGCCGTCGAGAACGAATAGCAGAATTGTCTTGAGGGGTATCTCTTATCGCTCGAAGCCGCTTCCTACGAGGCTGAGATCTAGAGTTGGGCATCGCTCCTTCTAACCAACAACACAAACTTATGCAAGGTAGTCTATAGTCCTCGGGACTGCAATTACGTAGGAGTTCGCGTGTCCTTCAACATATGCCGAGGAGAAAGAGGAAGGAGACAACGCCCGTGACTGCTTTTATTGGAAAACTTGAGACATGGCAAAAAGATACACACGTTCGAGCAACAGTTCGTAAGATAAGCTAGACTCCAGCTTTTGCGGAGCCAACTCAGTGAACCTATACCGTATTCTGTCACTGGGTGGTTGGATGTCGAGCATCGTTCGTACCATTTCTTTGACCCACATTCCGAGGCTAGCCCCCTCTGCAATGGTAGTCTTGACTATTTGCGTTCGTCGAAAGTGGGATGGAGCAGAAGAGACCGCAAGGGCGTACAAATCATTGCCTATGAACCAGGGGACAATAAGTGCATCATAAATAAGTTTCAAGCTTCAAGAAGGCTTGTGCTAGCTAATTGAACGATACACGTCTTCGCCCTGGAACTTCCCTGCAGTTGTATCTCACGTGACCGGACCCCCCCCCCCCCATCTGTGAAGGAGGTACTTCATTTTCAGCTTTGGCAAGAATATCTCTAGTTCTGCGCTTCCCCCTTGAGCTTGTGGTCTTATATGTAAACCCTTGCTGGGATCTTGACATAAATATACGGCCATGCCCCGCTTGTCGAAAAGATATCGGGAGAGGTCTTGGAAATGAACCAATATCGTCTGTAGAGACTAGAGGCGAAGTTAGACGCTCAAATTCAGCCATTTAGGTTGATTGAGAGACCCGATCGCAGACTTCTAGATACAACCAACGTCCAACCTAATCCTACCGCTCAGATATTCCATAATCCAGACAAAAGGAGGAAAAGCAAACATTTCCGAGAGAACAGAAAAGAAAGACAGCCAAGCAAGTGCTACAGCGATTCAGTAGAACTCGAGTGTCTTCTCAGCACCACAACTTTTGCACTCCGTAGTCACTTCATAACCATCGTCCTCGCTCCTAGGACCGCATTGCTCACACAACTCCTGAACGACTTTATCCACGGGACGCATAGGGTTATGCATCAGCGTAACCATAATATCTGCCTGGAAATCAGATACCTCAGAAGTAATCTGAAGAAAACGCTCGCGAGCTGGGTTTGCCAAAAGCAGGCGCATCTCCATAATCGCAGCTTCTACAACTGCCATGCGAAGCTCTGGGTGCTCGGTGGTGGTAGTTGCATACACGGATTCCACAGAGGCGTAGAAGACTTCGAGGTTTCTGAGTTTGCCTTGAAGCGTATCTCTGTATTTGTTCATGGCCACCGCCTTTAGACCCGTGCAGGCGAAGTCGGCGGCAAGGCAAAACACTTTGACGTGGGCGGGAAGAGAGAAATCTGGGGCTTGATCGACCGTAGTATAATTGGAGGTGTATAAATATTCCATCATCAGGCAGACCGAGTCGTAGTCATATTGAGTAAGGGTCAAAACGCTTTTATCGCCCTAGAATTGCGTTAGATACTGAATTATTTGGCGAGGGGAAAGGGCTGGGGATGGGCTTTACCTCCACTGTTCGAATTCTAGAATCAAGCATAGGGGACTGAGAGCAAACGACAACTCTATGAGCATTCCACAGACGGGTGCCGTGGATAATGGAAAGATCGGAGAATTTGCCGGTTAAGAGAGCACTTGTTGCGGGCAAAATTAGTGGTGTCCTTCGTGATGTTGGTGGTGTACTTAGGTAGGTAATACGTTCAATCAGCGAATATGAACTTACGATTGAAGGGCTTCCAATGGATGATGAGGAATCACCTGTGAGAATAATGGTCGAGGAGGTTCGTGCTCTTGCTCGTCGTCGTGGTCGTCGGCGCCGAGAGGAGATGAAGGTGCGTTGGCGTTGATGGTAGGCGAAGATGAAGATTCGGAAGACGGAGAGGACACCATTTTGGAAGACGCCCCTGCTATCGCGTGTTGATATTCGTGGAGTAATTGCTGTTCAGCTTCTCCCTGGTAAGTTTGCGGTCTCGGGGTTTGAGTTTGGGGTTGGTTTTGTGGTGGTGGAGTGCGGAGAAGTCGCGCCTGCGCTTTCTGGAAGATATTCATTGAATTGAGAAGCAGATTCAACGCGCCACATAAATTGAGCCTTAAAGTAACGCAAGAAAGAAAGATAGATGATCAACTGAATCCAAGGTTCTTTGATCAATAAAGCCGCGGTTTCAGGGCGCGTCTGCATTGAAGCCCCCTTTGAATGGCTGTCGCTTGTTACAAATTTGCAATGTGTTTTGGAGAGAGACAGAAGATATTGTAACTTCCCTTGAAAGTATAGTCGATTGGCGTCAAGAGATTAATAGCGTCTACACCTATAATATAACAGATGTGTTAATCACTTATTATTTCCAAATTCAGGACTAAGACACTCCGATATCTGTCGGCCTACTTGTGATTGCGACCTTTTCGTCGGCGTCCTTGTCTACTACATCTTGTAATTCGACAGCGAGCATAGCATGCCGGCCGCGATTGACTCTTCGACGCCATGGCTTATAACAGACCACAGACAGTACGCCAACGATTCCAAAAGTACCACAAATAGCACCTCCAAGGATATCGTAATGATCACCAACCGCATTTACACCATCCCAGAATGGCCCACTTTCAAAGTTCGCACCGATAGAGAGCAACTGAATAACCCCAATCGTCATGGCAAACAAAACCGTGATTGCTGACAGGACAATTGAGTAATACAGTATGGCAATTGTATCTCGCGCAAGGGAAGTCGACGTGTAGAGAGTCATCATTAAAGCGCCGTCCGTGGTATCGAGGAGGCACATCCCAGCTGAGAAGAATCAGTTACTGGTTGGAAAATTCATAAGACTTGGCAAAGTGTCGAAAATCATACCAGTGAACAGCAAAGGGAAAATAAGAATGAGCCAAATACTCGTTCCTTGTGCAGCTTGGATCGAAGAGATTCCCAATACAGCAATCTCGCTACTGGTATCAAATCCAAGACCAAAGAGCACTCCAAGAGGATACATCTTCCAGGGCCTATCAATGAATTTGAACACCTTCTTAAACAACCTTACCATTAAACCACCCCCTTCCAGGTTCAATCCCGCTACAGCACCCTCATTTTGCATATCACCATTTACCTCCTCCCTCAATACAGCCCTCATCCGCTGTACCAATTTCCACAAAATCCATGCATTGCCTATTCCCAACAGTATCAACACCGCCGCACTGACACTTGTCCCAATGATACCGCCCACATTCCTGAAGCCCTCAAACCGCTTCTCCAACGCCCCACTCGTAGCAGCCACCACTATACAAGTGATGATCACAATCGTCGAGTGCCCGAGACTGAACCACGTCCCCACCGTAACCGGTTTGGAGCCTGTAGCTACCAAGCGTCGCGTCATGAGGTCGATGGCAGAGATGTGGTCGGCGTCGAGGGCATGCCGAAGACCGAGAGTGTATGAGAGCAGGGCAGAGGAGGAGAGGGTCGGGTGTGAGCGTAGGATGATGGTGACGGCTATCCATATTGCGGCATTGATGAGGCCCAGGCAGGAGATAATTCCGATGGCGGGAAAAGAGAGTAGACGAAGTTGAGGGGGAGTCGAGAGGCGACTTCAAGAAGCCAGTGAGGTATATGGAGCAAAGGCATGGCAGGGGATATATATGAAAGGCATGTGTGGTCAAGAGGTCAAGAGAGAGTATGGGTTTGGAGTTGCAGTAAGACCTTTGGGCTTATCTTGATCTACCCCGCAGGTCGCCATTGTGGCTTTTGAAGGCCGCCGTAATCTCATAGCCCCGCCCCCTTTAAGGAGTGTATATATTTATGAACTCCATCGTTTTGCTACCATTTTCATATGGGGAGAGTGTGCTCGTTGTGTCAAAATCTCCATGTCTTTACAATGCATTCGAAGGGATTGGTAGTAAGCGCAGAAAGGTATAGGATAGGATCATCAGACCAGGGTACCCTCGGTTAAAAAGGGGGTAGATCCGGCAGACCCACAGAACATGCATGACATCTTCTCACTCATTACAACAGGAACCACGGCAGGAAAGCCCGGCCGAGGACCGTTCAATATATACCTATACATACCTATATAATATCGCGGATATACGTCGCTTTCTAGATTGATTTATCCGGATCAGAAGCATGTCGGAGTTCTTCCAGGCTTGGCTTGGTTTGGTCTAGCCCGTCCAACCTTCCCCCTTTCGATCAGCTTCAGCTTCCGCTCCGTATCAGCAACCTCATCGCACGACTGTTGATTGACGAGATAAAGTTACATACCCAGCTTCAGAAGACTGTACAGACACGTATAATATCCTCGTGCTCCTAGATCTGAGTATGCGCTTGACCTTAAGATCTTGAGCCCTCGCTAAGTTGCTAAATTAACCCGGATGCATGGCCAAGGTATCTTGTCATTCCTCGGAACATAATTTTTGCGCTCCTCCTATGGGGAAACAAGGAATATCCTCTTTTTTTTTGTCACAATTATATTTTGTTCGGGGATGTAACATCAGGACATGTCCTCAAATCTCTTCATGTCTACTATCTACTCTGGTTTTGCGTTCCTTAATTTTGGTCACCGATATTACTCTATCTATCATATTATGCCATTTTGCTGGAAGGAAGTCCTCCGCGTGCGAAGGTTGATGATCTGCAGTTTCATGCACTCCGCAAAAGCTAGAGGGTTAAAGTCAGGGGTTGATTTGGATCCTAGCATCGCTTTCGAGATTCTCACACTATCATTCGTTGAAAGTTGCGACGATATAGTGCCGATTGCTGATTGCTGATCATGATACTGCCAAGGATGCAAGTAGACATGACATTTCCCGTCGTAAACTTTGAAGTGGCTGAGTCTATGTATAGGCAAAATAAGTTAGTACGGGTACTTCATCCGATACCGATTTTCAAGTTGCAAGCCAAGTACTTAATCTCGGTTCGGCAATAATTGTTCCAAACAATAAGTGTTGATCGTTGGTTGTGGAGAGATGGTTGAGAAAAGATGATTCCTAACAAAACGGATTTAGCATCTGTACATTGGATTTCATGGAACAAGAGAATCCTGCCTAGGGAAAAGATGTACCATCACGTTACTCCTTACTATTTTCCTCTTGAGTCTGCTAGAATATAGTGGATTCCATGTCATCTATTTCACTTTATACTACAGTTCTAGCTACAATTCATGGTCACACGTGTTGGGTGAAAAAAGATCCCGAAAACATTAGGCTGTTTCGAATCATGCTGCTTGAAAAGCTTATTTGTTGGTTCATCCCATTCATTCTACCTCAATTTTTTTTTAAATCCTTGAATCCTTGAACCGGGATTTGGATTGGCCCTTGCTCCTCGGAACAGTCATTGTAGTTGCCGCTCTGGGTTTGCCCTCACATAGAGTAGACAAATTGCCTCTCTAGTCACAAGGACGACAGGTCTCGATTCTCGGCCCTAAACTTCCTAGACCCTTTCAGCCAGAGAGGAATGATCGCACTCAAGAACCGATGTCTGCCTGTTGATTTTATATATAAGTAGGCCATATTCCGGATCATCAATATTGATTCTTGTCCATAACATCTACCTGTTCATTCTTTGTATCTTTTGTATTTTCTATCAAGATGAAGTATCTCTTAGGTTTAGCTGGCCTTGCGGCTCTCGCGTCTGCAGCACCAGCTGAGACGCCAACCCGAATTATTGAGGAGCAAATGCTGGAACGAAACCCCGCTGCTGCTGCCTCTGCTGCAGCTGTTACCATTGCCCCTGGGAGTAACCCTTTTGCAACACGCACACTCCATGCCAATTCGGTTTACGCTTCCGAGATCGCAGCAGCAATGGCCAATGTAACAGACGCTACAATTAAGACACAGGCATCTGCTGTTGCTGAAGTTGGTAGTTTCTTGTGGCTGTAAGTCTTTGATTAGCTTAGCTTGGTTGTGTCTTCGAAGCGTTACTGACTTTGCATTTAACAGCGATACTATTGCCCGAGTTCCATTAGCAACCACATTGTTGGCAGAGACCCCATCTACCGAAATCCTCGGTCTTGTTATCTATGATCTCCCTGGTCGTGATTGCTTTGCCAAGGCCTCCAATGGAGAATTGGCAACTGGTCAGCTCGCAACATACCAGTCAGATTACATCGACCGTAAGTATACAGGATATTTTAAACTTCTAGACTTTTGTATTGATATATTTGACAGCCATCGCTGCCGCTATAAAAGCTGCTCCGCAAACCGCTGTGGCCTTGATTATCGAGCCTGATTCTCTTCCCAACTTGGTCACGAATATTAACGCAACCGCTTGCGCAGCTGCCGCTTCAGACTACAAGGCTGGAGTTGCTTACGCTTTGAAAACACTCAACCTCCCCAATGTAGCTATGTACATTGACGCTGGTCATGGTGGATGGCTTGGGTGGGATGCCAACCTGCGTTCGTAAATCTTCTACAGTCAAACGGAATCGTACTAACCAATTCCCCAGAGCCTGGAGCAGATATGATCACCAGCGTCTACAAGACTGCTGGCTCGCCCTCGCAAGTGTTTGGAATCTCCACCAATGTTGCAGGGTGGAACGCTTGGTCTGAGCTCCCCGGCGAGTTCTCAACAACCTCTGATGCGCAGTACAACAAATGCCAGGATGAGCAGCGCTACATCGATGCAATCCTGCCTCTTATCTTGGCCGATGGCATGCCCGCTCATGCAATCATTGATACCGGACGTAATGCCGTCCAAGGCCTCCGCCTGGCATGGGGAGACTGGTGTAACGTCAACGGAGCCGGTTTCGGTGTCCACCCAACTTCTTCCACCGGTAATGATCTTGCTGATGCTTTTGTTTGGGTTAAACCTGGTGGAGAGAGTGATGGAACCAGTGACTCCACTGCCACCCGCTATGACTCTTTCTGTGGTCTGGCTGATGGTAAGTTCGACTTCTGTTACTAAGTTTATCTTCTAATAATTTTCTTCTAGCATACAAACCTTCACCACAAGCTGGAACATGGAACGAGCCATACTTTGAGATGCTTCTCAAGAACGCCAACCCCGCATTCTAAGCGCCTGGTATGATTTTTATCAGGACTACAGACGAAATATTCGACCAACTTTGTGAATCCTCGAGTTTGTATAAAAAGTCCCTCGTTTACCGCACCGTGTGAGTTTTGCCTTCTAGTATATAGTGTGGACATTGAGGAGGAATTGATATATTGTACATACAAGCTCTATAAACATTGGAATGCACATGGCCTTCACGAGTATTGTTACTCAACCAGCACGTTGTTAGACTTTGACATCTTGGCAACCTCATCTGATTAGACCATCTTTGCCTGAAGGAACATGTATGCTTTGGCACTGGAGCCAAGACCTCAATATACTGGACAATAATTATGCGAGTTTAGAGTGATTGGGAAACCCTTCCTTGTCGCTACCACGGCTGCCAGTGCCATAATTTTGAGGTGTTCCTGTATTAATTAGCTTTGTTAGTCTCCTTCATATCAGTACATTAAAGAGGAAAATGGTAGAGCTGTTGTTTTGTTGGACTATAAAGCTTGTAGTGAGAGTGCTATGTTGTAAGAGCTATCGATAGGGGTAAGGCCTGAGACTGGTCACGGGATCTGAAGTAGTGTTCCAGAAGCGAAAAGTTCGCGCATTTTGAACATTTTTGTATCACATACTCACTAAACTTTAACTTAAGTAGACCACCTTTAGATATTTGGCAATACGATGATGCGCTATTTGAAAACACAAGCTTCCGTATCACCTCTTGAGTCACGTGACTATGACCAGGAGATCAGAGAAAGCCCGAATAAAGTTCCCTTGACCAAAGAGCTTCTGTAGTGAGTCAGACTAGATTGCGATATCTTGAATTGCGAGTATATCAAACTCACTTGCATTAGTGGATGCACTCTGCACTCTGCTGATATGTATATGATTACTAAGTAGCCATGCCAGGTCCTGACGGAATGCAGTGTAATCACTTGAATACGTGTCCTTCTCCGAGATTTGATGCCGGGAATAAATACTCACATATGTGGGTGGATGTAAGCAGCAAGTGCTCAACTAACTAGGATGGACGAAAGCTATTTGTCGTTGGAACGGTGAGTTGGAATATTGCTTCTTTAGGAAAATGATGAATTTGACAGACTTAGCGCTCTGAAAATGTTTATAAAGAGTGGTGCACCTTTCAGAAGGACATGGCCACACACCATTTGCATTACCCAGAACTATTCTGCCAGCTATCTAAACATCCTTAGCTCTTTCCTCTCCGTATTCAAGATGCTCATCAACTTTCTCTTATCCCTCCTATTCACACTCTCTCACGCCATCCCACTACACACTCCCAACCGCACAGCTCCCACCCTCACCTCTACCTCAGTCGCGTCTTTCTCCAAAGGAACATGGCTCGAAAACTTAGTCATCCGACAATCCGACGGCAACGCCCTCGTCACAATCTTGTCCGCTCCCGAAATCTACCTCATTTCCACAAGCAACGAATTTGCACCCATCAAAGTAGCGACATTCCCAAACGCGCTCGGGTGTCTCGGTATCGTGGAGTTGCGTCACGATATCTTCTACGTGGTGGTTGGAAACTGGAGCGCGAGCACCGGTTTATCGACTCCTGGGAGTTATTCGATTTGGGAGATTGATATGAAGGAGCGCAGTCCAAAGACGAGCAAGGTTGCGGACCTTCCTGAATCGGGGTTTTTAAATGGGATGACGATATTGAACCCTGCGCTTGGGGTTTTGTTGATTTCGGATAGTTATTATGAGGCGGTTTGGTCGGTGAATGTGTATACGGGGGATGTTGCGGTGGCTGTTAATGATACGACGATGGCGACGGTGCCTGGTGCGAGTCCGGCGCTGGGAATCAACGGCGTGCACTTGATTGGCGGGGATTTGTATTACAGCAATACTAATAAAGCGACGTTCAACAAGATCCCGATAGATATCCATACGGGGAAAGCAACTGGACCTGCAGAAATACTTTTGCAATCAACGACGAGGGAGATCTTTCCTGACGACTTTGCGATTGATTTATATGGAAATGTGTGGATGGCTTCGGATTTGTATGGAGAGCTGGACTTGCTCATAGGTGCAGCTTCTGGGGCTGGGACTGTGACTTTGGATATTGTTGCGGGGTCGAGAAATGATAAAAGCAATACCGGCTGGACTTCAGCGCAGTTTGGAACGAGGAAGGAAGATGTGGAAAGGGGGAGTTTATATGTTACGACGAATGGAGGACCGCTGAATTATATTTATCAGAACTGGACTGCTGGGGGAATGCTGATCAGACTTGATACTGTGGAATTGGGGCTTTATTAAATAGAGACAGAAATTGGAACAGGCAAAAGGTTCGGTAAGCACGCATTGTATCGACGCTCTAATCCTGCCTACATCTTGTGGCTTTGATCTCTGCTAGAAGCGATGCGTGTCTGTATACCACACGTCTGTGGCCATGTCGTTCTAACATTGGCTAAGGATGAAAAAAGAGGGCGACGACAGACGATCCGGATGGAGATAGCATCAGCCACTCTTCTAACGTAAGACCTGGTCGTGTTTTAGCAAGGATTTTGTTGGAGGGATGTAGCAGAGTTTTGCCAGTTGAAGGTTGAGAGTTGGGATGAATGCAAATAGATGGAGCAATAAAACATGTTCTCATTTCGACCTTTATCACAAAGAAAGTCTTTCCGATAATATAGATTGATAGTCAAAAGAATATCCGAACTTTGAGCAAGATGGCTATATTTGAACGAGGATTTTGACGTGATTCTCCTTATTATGAATCAACTCCATGAATCCGCTTTTGACGACATCTTCGAGGGCGATCTTGGAAGTAATCATATCTCCAGGTTTCATAACCCCTTTCACTCATGTTAGAGGTGACATAAAGGAGACGAGAGCCACGTACCTGATCCGATAGCCTGAATGACATCCTTGAAATCCTGCTGTACGTATCCCATAGAAGTCACATAGTTTCCCTCCTTGAAAACCAAATCATTCGGTTGAAACGGAACTTCCCTCTCCCAAATAGCAACATTTACCACGGTACCCCTAGGCTTGATGCTCTGACAAGCGCTCTTCAACCCACTCGCAACGCCAGCACAGTCGAAAACAATATCCACTCCTTCGCCGCCCGTCTCCTCTTTCGCTCTTGCAACCACATCGTCTTTCCTGGGATCAAGTATAACGTCGGCACCGAAGTGCAAGCTGAATTTCTGTCTCGAGCCTGAGATTTCGGAAACGATGATCTTTCCACATCCACGGGCTCTCAGTGCTTTAATGACTGCAATGCCAATAGGACCTCCACCGAGGATTAGGACAGTCGAGTCGTTCTTCAAGGGAGAACGAGACACAGCGTGCCAGCCGACTGCTAGGGGCTCGACCAGGGCTGCGATATCGAGTGGGATGTTTTCTGGGAGAGGAAGGACATAGTTCGCTGGCACGCAGACGGCGTCCGAGAGACCCCCACCCCATCCACTGAGTCCTACAAAACCGCCGTTATAGCAGACATTTTCAAGGCCGTCGTGGCAGGCAAAACAGGTGGTGTCGTAGATGGTGGCTTGAATTGAGACCTTCTGGCCAACCTTGAATTCAGTAACGCCGGATCCGAGAGATGTGATGGTGCCAGAGAATTCGTGGCCGAAGGTTACGGGGAGAGTCTCTTTTGTGACTGGGTGTGGATTTACAGGAGCGAAGTTTGGTCCGCCTAGATATTCGTGCAAGTCTAGGTGATTCAGTGAGAGCAAGGTGGATCTCTGGGATGTCACTAAGAGACGTACCGGTGCCGCAAATTCCAACGAATGCAGGTTTGATCTTAATCCAGCCGTCTTTGACAGCTGGCTCCTCTACCTCCTCTACTCTTATATCTTCTTTGCCGTAGTATCTAGCTGCACGCATGTTAATGTTGATGTTGAATGTCAATGTCTTTCCAAAGCTTGAACTTAGTATAGTATAGTATAATATGGAAACTTTTTCAAACACATCTCGACAAGAGTCACGATCGTAGGCGATTTATATATACTCAACCTCGACCTCGCCCTTGCCTCTCTGAACACGCCATACACGTATGATAACTCTACGCGTACAAGTCGGCTAAAGAGCGCTTGCTGTGGTGTGACCGGCGGCGCCACTTGAAGATAATGGAAGCCAGCGGAGAAATACATAACTTGGACTCTTCGGGAGCAAGCGGTCTAACTTATAAGGATATCAATCCCCAGACATCTTGTATCTCCAGATTTTACCTAATCGTCCATATTAGTGTTTCACGTGATGGACGATCTTACTTTAGGTAAGGAGTTTCCAAATGCGGGTGGGGCCGGAGAAGGTGTACCGAACCCCTCACCCACCCCACACCCCGTCTATTTGATTGCTTTCGTTAAAAGGATGTGTTTGTGACAATGTTCAATGTCAATTGAAACAAAAGCTTCGCCTGTTTGTAAGCTGGAATGGATGACTTCCGTAATGTTCTCTCTTCACTTACATGGCATGGATCGGTATTACTCGTACATTTCTCAATGTTTACTCCGAGTACCCCGCAGAGCAGCTTCCCTTTGTGCCAAGCGTGAAACGCCCATCCAAAGCTTCAAGCCTTCCCTTACTTAGCATAGCAAAGCGGAAAGAAACCATACAATCAAATTAGAAGACGTGGAGGGTTTCCCTGCGTGACAGCGCCACGAGCTACCTGATGTTTGTTTAAGCCGATACGAAAGCCGAGCTGTCAACCCCACATTCCATGTCCGCAGACTCACTCCGTTCTTCAAAAACCCAAGCCTTTCTTTCTCCAAGAACATCATAATCTAGGAGGTGTCTAGCTTTCTTCTGTCTTGCCCTTTCCAATTAATCAAGCGAAAGAACTGCAAAAGATGTACACAGCTTCAGTAAGCTAGCTACCCCTCCATCCAATTAACATCAACATTCTTTATCTTCCCTTGGCGTGCGACAAGCTTCAATAACTGTTGATTCAGTTTGCCATTTTGTCTTTGCATAATCCACCTAGGTATCAAGACAAGCTTGCTAACCTCAATGGTCCCTCTAGTTCGCCTTCTTCGAGGCATTATGGGAGGTTTGTTTCCCAGATTTCCCATAAGGCGGAATTGTTTACTGAATACTGTCCACAGGCCGGTGTTACCCACTGCTTTGTCAATCTTGGCTCTGATCATCCCTCAATCATAGAGGCAATGGTCAAGGGCCAAAATGAAAAGAAAGGCCAATTTCCACGCATCATAACATGTCCAAACGAGGTAAGTGCTTCCAATACACCTCGATTTCCATGCCCACAAATTCCCCCAGATGGTAGCACTCTCTATGGCCGACGGCTTCGCCCGCCTCACCCGCAAACCACAATGCGTAATCGTCCACGTCGACGTCGGTACCCAAGGTCTGGGAGCAGCAGTGCACAATGCATCCTGTGGACGCGCCCCAGTTCTCATCTTCGCCGGGCTCTCCCCCTACACAATCGAGGGCGAGATGCGAGGATCGCGCACTGAATACATACATTGGATCCAAGATGTGCCCGATCAGAAGCAGATTGTACAGCAGTACTGCAGATATACTGGGGAGATCAAAAGCGGGAAGAATATTAAGCAAATGGTCAATCGGGCGTTGCAATTTGCAAGTAGTGATCCGGCCGGACCGGTGTATTTGTGTGGTGCTAGGGAGCCAATGGAGGAGGACTTGACGCCTTACAGTCTGGAACAGGCGCATTGGAATCCTGTCGAGCCCGCGGCGTTGAGTGAGAGCGCTGTAAAGAGGATTTCTGAAGCATTGGTGGGGGCAAAGGAGCCTTTGGTACTTACTGGTTATAGTGGACGCAACCAAGCTGCTGTTCCAGAGTTGGTAAAGCTTGCGGATACAATCAAAGGGCTAAGGGTTCTAGATACGGGAGGAAGTGATATGTGTTTCCCAGCGGACCATCGTGCGTGGTTGGGGCTGAGATATGGGATTGATGAGTCTATCCGGACTGCTGATGTGATTCTTGTGATCGATTGCGGTATGCCATCTCCCTCCCCCTCTTCTCGATATCAAGTACATCCTGAGATTTTGCAGACGTTCCCTGGGTTAACACTCTGTGCAAACCTTCCCCCGATGCCCAAATCTACCACGTCGACACAGATGTCCTCAAACGCCAAATGCCAGTCCACTACATCGCAGCCCTGGCCCGCTACTCAGCAGACGCCTATACATCCCTCACTCAACTCAACAACTTCATCTCCAGCTCTCCCCTCTCAGCTAAACTAAACACCTCCCTGTACTCAGCGAAATGGGATGCCCTCCAACAAGCACACACTCAGCGCCTAGCCACCATCGCCAAGGCAGCAGAGCCCAAATCCGATACATTCGGGACTGGGCACTTGTGCGCTACATTACGGAAGCTAGTACCAAAGGACACCATCTTCGCCATAGAAGCAGTGACTAACACCGCTTTCGTAGCAGACAATATCCAAGCCACCCTCCCCGGCTCCTGGATCAACTGCGGAGGCGGAGGACTGGGCTGGTCCGGCGGTGGAGCGCTGGGAATCAAGTTAGCTAGCGAGTTTGAGGGGAAGGGAAAGTTCGTGGTGCAAATCGTTGGAGACGGAACATTCCTCTTCTGTGTCCCTAGCTCTGTGTACTGGATTTCGCAGCGGTACAAGCTCCCCATCTTGACTATTGTGTTGAATAACAAGGGCTGGAATGCACCCAGGAGATCATTGCTGTTGGTTCATCCTGATGGGCTGGGATCGAAGGCTACGAATGATGAGCTGAATATTGCGATTGCGGGTCCGGATTTCGCGGGGATCGCGAAGGCTGCTGCGGGAGGGAATCTATTTGCTGGGAAGGTCGATAAGGCGAGTGAATTGCAAGAGCTGTTGAAGAAGGCTGTGGAGAGTGTGAGTAATGGGACGAGTGCGGTTGTTGAGGCTGTTGTTGCACCTGGTTGTTAGACGTAGGGGTGATAGGTTATGGACCGGAAATGGAGCATATGATAGAAAGGAGAGAATGAGCATTGCTAAATAGCAACATATCGATGATTAAAGTTTAAATGGAATGTTGGCACTGCCATTTCACGCGAGAAGGATTGAGATATAGCAGGTCTTGATCAACTATGCAGATCGCAACAAAAATCTTTATAAGCACATTGCTGACGGAAGATATAACTAAGCTATTAACCCAAAATTCCCTTTCAAAGTTTTGTTGCACATCGCGCCGGATAAATGAAAATGTCTCAGAATGAAGGAAGGAAGCTATCCACAAGTAGGAAAGCTGACCGTCCGTCCCGTTGTTGAAGGATCCCCCCCTGGTAATAATTCATTTATCCATCCGTACAGAACCCAAACATCCGGAATCGGAGGATGGATTAACGATTTATCCATAGGCTGGGATGGTTTTGTTGCATGTCGGAATGGTTAAATGAAATGTCTCAGATTTCTTTTTTAGGTCGCCGACTGAGCTCCCGGGTCCTAACACGGATTCCGAGATGTTGAAGAAGAGTGGATATGGGCTTGCAATCGCGATAAACTTGCTTCTGTTCTGGATGCGCTGGCCTACTGTACGCCAGGTGTGGTGGAGACAAGTGCGAGGGAGATATTTGCATGTGAAAACGGGCAGGAATCTAGAACTCGATGCAATTGTTGCTGCTGGGTAATTCCCATGACCTGAATTGATAGTTAATCAAGATTGTGGCGATTCTTGGATTCCACCAGGTCATGGTACTGTATTGTACCCAAGTCAGGTGCGGAGACCCCGGAAAAGCAATTAAGAATCTAGAACGTATTAATATATAGCAACGGTACTGTAGTATTTGATATGCATGCATGTCAAGGAGAATCCCATGAGGGTTGAGGGGGTGTACCCGGGTGTAACCAACTGACGAACCAGAAAGGAGACTTGGTGGATGTGTACTGCTAGTCTAGAGATACCTGTGGCAGCGGCACACTTAAGCGCCAACCCAGACATGTATCAGTGTCCAAAAGAGGGTACTGATGATCAAGTCCCAAGTATTGATACTGTACAGTAGAGTACTACCTAAGGTACTTACTCACCTAGCACAAGATGTGTCCAAGTCTCCTCGACCAAGACTTTGAGGTTGCCACATATCAATTCTATGCACCGTTTAGTTGCTCCAACGCTGCACCTCTAACCTTGGTCCCGTTGAACAAGGTTCACGTTGACTTGCCGTGTACAGTAGTACTGAGTCCATCCAGACTGCTGGAATTTGCCTCGTTAAACGAAGTGACTCAAGTACTCGGTCCAGCCTTTTCCATCGTGACTTGAGGCGTAGGATGCATGTGCATATGTGAGGAAAATGGAAAGTAAGTACTCGAGTAGGTGATATGTATTTATTAGGTGAAAAATAAGACCTACCTACCTATGCACGAAGGGTCCATATAAAAGGGGGTACTATATTGTATAGTACGAAGTAACAGTACTGTCATAAATACTACCGGACTAGCTAGGGCTTTGAAGTTTCTCTACAACTGTAGCATTGCCGATCCCGATCCAGACCCCTCCCCCTCCCCTCCTTTTGCAGATATCTCGTCTGATCCTCGCCCCTCTCTCCGGGCCAATACTCGCCCCCGTAGTAAGGCCGGGACGTGTCTACGGAGTAAAGCGTGATAGCCGTGTGTAGTAGAAGTTGGAACAAGAACAAGAGCAGTAGTACTCTAACTAGGTACCGTAGGTTGGTATTATCTAGCTAGGTATAGGTATATAAATAAGTATTAGGAGAGCTTCACTCATCACGCTCACTCACTGTGCCGAATCCTCGGCTCTTCTTCGCCTACTCTATCTGCTATCTAACCCCTCCCACCAAGACTATTCACATATTTGTTTACCTCGTCCCCGCAACCCGATTCAGTGTCCAGACCAGTTCATGGTACATGGTACGGAACTACTTCGTACATTCGTACATCTTCCCATACAGCCTAAAATCAAAATCACGCGGTGGAGAACGCTACTTTGCCCAGGTACCGAAACATTCTAACCCAAATCTACCAGGTTTCTATCCTCGACTCCACCTGCGAGCCACCACTGCTACCGCATATATTTGCCCCAAAATCTCTGTCAGCCATCTGATCCATACCTTATACCCACGATATACTGTCGGGAATATGCGAGCACAGTCACCAAAGCAAGAACGGCTGTCGCCGAGGCTACCATCTATTTGGTGTCCCAAGCTCTAAATACTTTGAGCAGCCATTGACAATTTCAACATCTCACCCATACAACATCCCCGCAAATAAAGCGCGTCATGTCTCCATCCATGTCTGATAATGGCAACGATCCATCATACTCCTCAGAATCAGAGGCCACAACTTACGTCCATGATTCTGCAGACTCCTTCTCATACACTCTTCCGCCACGACCAAATCCTTCTGCAGACACCGGGCTCATCATATCACCCCGTAACGAAGATCCTAATGCCTACCCTCCTTCGCCAAACAGCATCGATGTGTTTACCATAGGTCCAATCACCGCGCTCAAGCTACTCTGTGGTGGAATTGAGGCCTTGGTACGAATCACTGGCGATGTCCCTCCAACACCCCCTCCGAGCTTCTCGACCCCACCAAATATGCGAGGGATGCAGGCAGAGAAGGATAGCATCATAAGAAGCAATTCATACAAGAACCTTGCCGAGTTACAACAGCGTCCTAGGACGCCTTCAGCCTCTAGTGGAGCGGAGGAGGAGTATGACGGGGTCACCTTCAAGAAAGCCCGCGTAGGAAGTCCTGTTGTTGTGCCTACTCAGCCACATATCATAATCGGCGACAATGCGGAACCTCTGAATGTTCAGCACAGCGCTATTACCCGCAAATTCTACTCGAAACAACCTCCTCCGATCTCATTGGAAGACTACCTTATGCGAATACACAAATTCTGTCCGATGTCAACGGCGGTATACCTCGCGACGAGCTTCTATATTCACAAGCTGGCAGTTGACGAACGAGCAATTCCAGTCACACGTCGAAACAGTCACCGATTACTTCTTGCGGGTCTTCGAGTTGCCATGAAAGCTCTCGAAGATCTGAGCTACCCACATTCCCGGTTCTCAAAGGTTGGAGGAGTCAGCGAGGGCGAACTCGCAAGACTAGAAATCAGTTTTTGTTTTTTGACAAATTTTGAATTCAAGACGAGCAAGGAGACACTTTTACAGCATGCTATTAGTCTGAAAGAGATTTCTTCATTACAAGGATCGATGAACTTTGTCCCGCGACTACCATTGAAGAGAAAGGAGAATGTTGGGGTTAAAGAGGTTACTGAAGCTGTATAAATTGGGCCCAAGAACGATTAGATGAACCGCTCACGCGTTTGCGATTCCTACAGTATATGAAGATTCAAAGTCGACAAGCACACGGATAGCCGACCCAAGGAAGCATGATTTTTGGCGTGGTAGCATATCGAGCGGAAGGCAGAGACCACCTACAAAGGTTTGGGTAGCACGGCATAGCTCAAGGCGTTGGAAATGTCCATTGGTAATAGGATTTTATGGCATGTATAATACCTTCACATTGGTATTGGTGGCATTGATGTTTGGGATATGGCGTTCTTGATGTCTTGATGGCTGGGAAGAATGAACATAGTGTGCCATTAGTTGGGAAGAAAGATGATAATGAGCGGTGGTTCTTTGCGGAGTTATGATACCTAGGGATTATGAGACAACAATAAATACCCAGTACTTACCAGTATGCAGCATTATTTGGTTCAATGATTAGCAATTCATCAGCCCATCTTGATATCACGTGTGAATATTGGTCAACAATATCGTACTGACCTTGAGATTCGGACGAAATGATTCTGCCTGAGCATACCACATTGCCACTTCATGTTCTGGCAGGAGAGCTTTTTGCAAGCTACCAAACTTACCCCGCGCCGTTACTCCTATTTATATGTCAACATAAGCACAGCAGCCCACCTTCCTCATTCATACAACCTTAAGCCGAATCGTACAGCCAATAAAGCCGAAGCGCGACCTTATTCTCTTATATCATTGAGCCCCAGAGAGTCATCAAACACGCGATTGAAAGCAAAAGAAGCACAGAATCTGCGAACCCAAAGAATAGACAAGATGGCTTCCTACGAGACAGTCCTCAAGCGCAAATACCCCGCCAAGGAGCATGCGAGAAAGGTGGTGGAATACTTGCGAAAGAAGAACCCAGATATCAATGGAGTGCTCTATCTCGAGGGCCAGAAGACAAAGATGATCGAAGACAATGATGGAGAGGCTCCTTTCCGGTTTGCTCCCCCTTCTCTCCTCACCAGGCCATCACTGACCCCTTCCTATAGACAGCGCCGCTACTTCTTCTACCTAACGGGCTGCCCCTTGGCAGACAGCTACTTCACCTACGACATCGCCACCGATAAATCTACCCTCTTCATTCCCCCTATCGACCCTGAGTCCGTAATCTGGTCCGGGCTACCCGTCTCCGAAGAAGAAGCTTCCTCCCTCTACGACGTCGATCACGTACAGACCACAACGGAAGTAGCCTCGGTCCTCACACACCCGCATAAAGTCCCCGTCTGGGCCATCGCCAACCAAGTCTCCGATCACATCTCCTTCCTCTCCTTCAGTTCTACCAATTTCACACAACTTAAAGAGGCTATTGAGGAATGTAGAGTAGTGAAGGACGCGTACGAAATTGCGCTGATCAAGAAGGCGAATGCTATTTCGACGATTGCGCATACGGAAGTGTTGAAGCGGGTGAAGGGCGCGAAGAATGAGAGGGAGTTGGAGGCGGCATTCATTGAGAAATCTATCGCGAATGGGGCTAGGGAGCAGGCGTACCATGGTATTTTTGCTAGTGGGGAGGCTGCTGCTACGCTGCATTATGTAAAGAATGATCAGCCGTTGGAGGGGAAGCTCAATGTGTTGCTTGATGCGGCTGGGGAGGTTGATTGCTATGCTTCAGATATTGTACGTTTTCTTCCTCTTCTGAAATCATTCCGCACTCTTGCTAATAGGATGGATGTAGACAAGGACTTTCCCCATTTCTGGCACTTTCTCTCCCGAAAGCAGAGCCATCTATGATATTGTTCTGGAAATGCAACATGTCTGCATAAACCTGCTAAAAGCAGGCGCAGTATGGGATAACATCCACCTTAAAGCCCACGAAATCGCCATTGAAGGTCTTCTGAAGCTAGGAATATTACAAGGGACCCCGGAAGATATTTTGAAGAGCAGAACAAGTGTCGCTTTCTTGCCGCACGGTTTAGGTCATTATCTGGGTATGGATACACATGACACGGGCGGCCATGCGAATTACGCGGATACAGATAGTATTTTCCGGTATTTGAGAGTCCGGGGCAAAGTACCCGCTGGGGCTGTGATTACTGTTGAGCCTGGTGTATGTTTCTTCCCAACCCAAAGCTTTGGGCAAAATCTGACAATAAACAGATATACTTCTGCCGCTTTATTATTGAGCCGTACCTCCGGGATCCTGTTCACGCTCAGTATATCAACTTCGATGTCTTGAATAAGTATTGGGCTGTTGGAGGTGTTAGGATTGAGGATAATATTTTGGTGACGGCGGATGGGCATGAAAATTTGACAACGGCGGTCAAGGATGTGGCGGAGATGGAGAAGATTATAAATGGTTCGTAAGATCAATTGGCTAATTGGAGCTGGAGCTGGTGGGGAAGACAAAGGAAGAAATCATGATGATATGAAAACTATAAGATGAGAGATGATAATGAAAACATATCTTGGCAGCACTGTAGGTGAGTTATGATGGTCCGACAATCAGTAAGCCTCTCCACTTGCCATCTAGGCCAAAGGACAATGCTCTTTATCCTAGTGCTCTCTCTCTAACGCCTTTCAAAGTTCCTTGACATGAACAACATCTCAAATTTTGAGACTCCATCCATTCCGTCCCTTCCATCCGCTCTTCCCCATCAAACCCCCCTCGACCCCCTCATCACAAGCTCCAGCTAACCCGCCACCACAATCCACACTCTTTCCTGCATCTTCAGATTCAATCCTCCCATTCCCTGTCCCCAAAGGATGGCGGTGACAGCCGTGATAATTCCAGCCCGCGTGGCCCAACTGGTCTTGAAGAGCTGGTAGGTGATGGCAAGTAGCGTGATCATGACTGGAGTAGACTGGTTTGTTAGCATTAGACGGGTTGAATTGGGGAGCGGAGAGGAGAGGAGGGGATGTTTTCCTTTGTTCAAGTTGTGATTTTGGATTTTAGGTGCGTGGGTGAGGGGATGGTTTTACTGGATGGGATTCAGACTGCTGGGGGGAAGACTTTTGGTTTTGATGGCGGTTTGGATGATTTTGTTTTACCGATGTGTTAGAGAACTTGGAGATATTCAATCTGAGTTGGAGGCTGTGGTAAAGAACGAATGTGGGCGGGGTTTGGTAAGTGAAGTATGGGCTATTGACTGCAGTGAAGAGAGACAAGGCGTGGAGACTTTCATGCTATTTCCCAATTAACTCTATTTTGTTTTCCAACCCCTCTTACTCTTTTTCTGTTTACTTTCTTTCGTTCTCTCTGGTTGCCCTGCTCTTGCTCTTGCTCACCATTGCTAATATCTCTACATTAGCATTAATGTTTCCCCGCGTTATGTTCCAGCTGTTATGAAGTATTAGACCTTGGTAAATTTTCAAAGTGTATATAAATATGCATAGGTGCTGGTCTCATCTGAAGAGTGTTTGGACACCACAGCTGAACTATTCTGGTACGAAAGATCACTAGTACTGAAAAGGGGAAAGACAGCGGGGGCCATCGGCATAGACTTTGGCTCGGCCCAATCGAAGCATTTCGAAAAGTTCGGCGGCACGATTGCGGGATTGACGGGAGGACCCTACATACATATGCACCTATGCACAGCTAATCCAGTGAAATGTCGACTCTGGTAATGGGATCGACGGGACTTGTAGTGACTCACAGGAAACCAGTACAATACCCTTGTTTAATTGTAATGCAGGGCATGGATTGCTTGCCTAAATCATGGTTGGTGGGTGGAACTTCACTTCATCACATCACATTACATTGCAAATAGAGACAGTTGGTTCCGATGAAAAGCAATTAAATTCATCAAAAACAGCTATCTATCCTCCGTGCCAGCCAAAAACTTATAGTAAACGACAAAGGATAGAAATCTAGAAGCAAAAGATGATTACGTCGCAGCCTGCAGGTAAATCAGAAATCAAGCCCCCTTATTCCCACCTATACATGCCATCGTCGTAAGCAACTCGATGTCTCCTATATCCAGGCCCAACACTGGCCCTTCTCTTTGGTAATTGCCTCTCCCTGAGTCTCTGCTTCATAGCCTCTTGCTCGTCCTGTTCCCTGCGCATTCTCCCTCGTCCAGACTCTCCAATTGAAAGTCCTCCCATCATGACTGGGAGCATATCATTCTGATCCACGACCGTTACAGACGGTCTCGTGTACGTTCCTCTGCGTGGCAGCACAGGAACCAGCGGCACCGCTGGCCGTCTTCGGATTTCCTCATCCTGTGCGCGGATGAAAGCCAGTTTTCTTCTCTCGGCCTCTTTCTCAATGTCACGTTTTCGAATCCGCTCAAGCTCACGCTCTTCTTCCTCACGACGCAGGCGAGAGTTGAAGGATGTGTGTGAGTTGGAAGGTGAGTCCCAAATGACGTGTCTGTTCCTTGACTGAGAACGGTTCCGGCGAGGTGCGACGACGGCACCGATGCTTGGGATGCGATGGAGTGGGCGCTCGTCGACGATGACGGGACGGCCGCGGTCATGCTCAGCAGCACGGTAGGCTGGGCTTGCTGGTGAAGATGGGGCAGTGAATGTCTGGTTAAACTTCTGCGGTGGTGTGCGTGGGGTTGGTGGGGAGTCCACGATAATGATTCTCTCCTTTTTGTGTTGTCTGGTTGGTCTGAGGGGTGAAAGCAAGCGCTTGCTGTGTCGCCGCCGGTGTCCTGACTCTGAAGACGAGTGTCTGTGGTGCGAGGCTGGTGAGCGATGAGGCGACTGAGGTCGTTGGTGAGGTTGGGGGATTGGTCGCGTGAGCATCAACTCGGTGGTTGGCTCGTTCCAGTTGATCCTTCTAACTGGGTTTTCGATTGTGGATAGTGTTGGGCAAGGTCGTCCTGGGCTACCATATTGACAAATGGAGGTTTGACGGAACTCGACCGTATGCCCGTCAGGGTATCGGTCGAGGTAGATGTTTGTGACACACATAGTGGCGGTGGGAACGTATATGTCTAGTGGTTTCGATGTGTATTTTACTTGAGATCTCAAGAAGTTTGAGTTCTTGGACTGTAGCTGGAAAATTCTTGTTCCGTAAAGTTGTTGTTCTGTTCTGTGATGAAGACCCCTTTCTTAAGAAGCCCCAAAAAGTAATTGTTAGTCTCCCGGATCAGGGATGATATGTAGTCGGACGCCTGGATCTATGCGGTGTACGAGAGACATGAAGACGACATGTATAAAGAAGTTGTGTCTGTTGAATTGTGAGGGGAGGGAAGGTACTTTATCGGGGGGTCGAAGAGGATGCTATGCGCGTATATATAAATAATATGTGTATAGTGACAAGTGAGATATGAGGCAAGGCTGGAGACGATAACTCGAGTGAGAACAGATAGATGCAACTGCAGTCAAGTGTAGTAAAATCGAATTGAAAGATGATAGGAGAGAAGGAGGATGAGCCTGGTGGGTAGTGTACACTTATATGTCTACTCCATATGGGCAATGCCTCTTTGTCTGCCTAGTCTGTTGCCGAATGACTATGAGTCTGAGTGTTAGGGGCCGAAATGCGCGCCATCCAAGTGCAGGTGGGGAGAACCGCTGATTCGAGGAACCAAAGCCACACCCACTCACAGCCCACGAGGCTGAGCAGATCCCCCCTAGTCAGGTGCTCCAGAGTCTGCAAGAAAGGGGCACAGTGTCCAGTTGCCGGCCCTTTGCGCTCACTGAAAGCAGCACTTTCTAGTGTATGTTGGAGAAAGGTGTTGGAGGTTGGAACAGAAGACTCCGTACTGGACAGATGTTTCTCACGCTTTCTCCATTCAGAGTGCAAAAAGGGCTAAGGGACGTCGGTGGAAGTCGATCTGGTGCCGTTGGGACCCCAGAATAGAAGTGCTACAGTACCAACTCGGGTCGGCGCGAACTGAGGAACATAAGCCCTACGGGCAATTTCGCCAATTACTGCACACATGGCATACCAACATTACCACAATGGCGTTTCGTAGGAATAATGAAGCTCGGACAGGGGGAGTGAGAACTTTGATTGAGTGCTTACTGACCAGAGGATTCGCAGTCAACTCGGGAGCTTGCGACGCCTATTCTAGTGTTCGGTAACGCTGTACCCCGTAATGCAGGCTGGGGCTGGGAAAGCTGGAGCGTTAAAGGTTACCTACAGTGAGGCCGCCTTTGCGACCAGAAACAAAAGTTTCTTCAGATCGTCCCAGGCGTCTACAGGTCGTCCCAGGCGTCTATGCCTTGACGCAAGCTTACCTGTACGGGACCTTACTGGTAATTGACACCGAAATAAGCTTTGAGGATACGGACGGTGCAGTAGGTTGGTTCATGGCCATATGGCCATGACGATGGTTTGCAGCGGTTATTGCTCTTTTGGGGGAGTGCATTTTCCGATACTCCGTATACTGCTTACTACTGTAGGCTGTACAGTAGCTCGCAGCACACTGCTACTCTACTGGAGAAAGATCTTCCACATGGGCCCAGCCTCCACAAGAGGCTCAGATTGTACTTCGTAGCCTCCAAACAAAACACCAACAACCACCCCCTGGAAACAATTTCTCCTGCTTCAACGAATCTGCGCCCATTCACATCACATCATCGCTTCTTGTAAGCAGCCACTCTGCCACATTTCAAGGACAAAGCTTTGTCACTTTGTGCAGTACAGTAGCTCCCGCTGCACATGCTGCGGCTGCGGGTATCGCCATCTGGTCGTCGGTGAAACATTTGTGGGTGTGACAGTCGCCGTGTGCCCATTCGCAGTCGCCGAAACCCATACCAGTTGTTGGGTCGAGCACCGACTCCCGGAGGATCAAGAGGATGAAACCACCATACCGAGATCTATCATGTTCACCTTGCGCCGCCTGCCCCTTCCCGTTCTCCTTCTGGCACGAAGTGTACGAAGTAGTCTTGGGGAAGGTCTTCTACGAACCCCCCCGCTCTGGCTCAGTCTGCCTTGCGACGATGGCTCGAATTTTCAAGTATCAGCACATGATCTTTTTCTCTTCTAGGAATTATCACGCAAATTTCCACTTGACAACTTCCCGTGCCTGCCTTAAGTCCTGATTATCTAATTGTGTCAGCAGGAATTGATGGGTGTGACTGGAAGCGGAAAGTGACCCTTGCAGAGCTGAGTGGGGTGCCTGCAGTCAGCCTTACAAGGCGCATTTCCTCCCCATCGCGGTCGCGGTCGTATCATTGCGAAGAGTTTCCTTCCGCTTCTGGTGCTTTGGTGAATAAGCTTAAACAGTACCACCATATACCATATGAGTGTGAAGAGAATATTATGTAGTTGTCCTTCCAGTCTGTCAAGGCGGAGGACTAGTATCACTCTGTGGCATGATTCAATCGTCCGAGGATCGTCGAGTCACTCATCAGTAGCGGGAGTTTAGGACTAGGTCTGCGTTCTGGCTTTATTGACGGCGGCAAGTGTACCACACTTCGCACCAGTCGTATGTTGCAACCCCCAGAGAGGGAAATCCTGTCTTTTCGGTTTATAATATCTATCAACTCCTGATTGGCATATTTAGCAACTGTTATCTCAAGGCAGCTACTTGAGCTCCAAGTATCCTTGTTATAGGTGGCAATCAAAAAAGCTATGCATGTTTATGGTGGGGTGAGTGAAGTCTTGCTCAACAGTGCAACCTGTAGTTAGGTCATGCTCCCCACGACTTACCTCATCACTTCCTACTAAGTTGTAAGACAATGAGTGGCAGGAAGGGGCAAATGTTGAAAGGTTTTTCCAAAATGTATTATAGTACTGAATAGCGACGGAATCTTGTCTACCTTGTAACGCGGGAATATAATTCTCTGTGTGTTTGATGACTATCGATTACGTCAAGCCAAGGAACTACAACCTGAGTAGCAATCAACTTTCGCAAGTGACGAAACTGATTCATGTCAATGGGTATATGATGCTGCCTGTACGTACATATTGGTGTCTTCTCGGGTTGCTCCTGTGTTCAAAAACCTACTGCCTGTTGAGGCGCTAGCACCAAGTCGTAGGTGCCTTGAGCTACCCCTCAATACTTGCGGCGTGGTAATAGATAAGGTATTTTTTCTTTGCGGTTTTGCCACACCGTTCTAGTTCGTACGCTCTGCATCAACAGGGTAAAACGTTCTTCCATCGAATGATTACTGTCTCGCTCGAGCTATACAAGGTATGGGCACTGGACCAGTACTTACAAGAAATGAGGAGCAGGATTGATCAAGGTGATCCAAGATTGGACATGTCTTTCCTAAATTCAGCTTTGCGGCAAATCTCCCTCGACCTGTGCCGGTACTTCTTTTCAACTCCTCCTAGCCGCGCAATCCTAATCACCATCTAATTCTATAGGCTGTGCTTCTCCTCTCCCATTTTCCCCTTGCATATCTGCCATCGGACCGAGGCTTCTTCACCTCTGCATCTCTCTAGTCTCCGTTCTGACTATTTGTATGGTCTGAACCAGACTCTCTTTCCTTTCTATAGCTCTAAATACGTTCTCGTTAGCCGGCGTCTTAGACGAGTTATTGCCATGCTTTCGGAGTGTAACTGCGGCTTCTGGCTTACCACTTTTGGCATTGGACTAAATAGTTCTGTTTAGAATTGAAGCCACACTTCCTGTTGCAATAACGCTGGGGCTCGTCTTTTCTTCCCTTTCGGGAAGAGTAACAAGGCTATTAAAATTAGAGCAATCACAGTGGCTCCCACAATCGGACCAGTACTGTTTTTCTTCTTTTTTGATTTTGTACCCTCAGCTGGGTTAGAAGCAGAAGTTGCAGTGACCGAAAAGTTATTTCAAGCTTTCCAACTGGGGAAGCCTCGGTTAAGATTCTAAGAAAGCAACCGAACTGTTTCATATTAGCAAATTCAGTGCCATGGCTAGGCTAGTCTACTGTTGATGAACGAAATATGATAGCACCAGTGAGGCACTCTTTAGGATTCAGACTTTTAGTAGGCAAAAGTGGCCAGGAAGTATCTAAGATAAAAAAACGAAAGTTTTTGTTGCACGCAATACTATGTCTTCAAGTCCTAAGCTTGGGTTGAGCCTTCGGAGACATTTACTAACTGACAATGACTCTTCGGAGACATACTAACACATCAAGGCTTCCCAAAAACTCATCGATTTGCAAGATTTAGCTTAAGTGTTCTCAATTGGCTCATAATACAAGAATCAAGATTTAACGGAGACTTTTCGGCTAGTTATTTTGGTACTATTTCGATATAGCACCTATGGACAATCAATTTAGTGACTGCACCACGTTTCGGTAACTGCTCGTATCTTTTATAAGAAGTGCCAAAGTCGCCAGAAAACACCCTCTAGTTCTTTATTCAAACTTCTTCATGATTTTCAAATAAATAAATATTTCTAAATTTGCAAGCATCTTTCACATCATGTCGACCTCCATATTCTCGAAGACGGTGTTCACCTCGAACTATGAGCGTATGACAGGCAACTGTACTCGCATTGTGGCCGCCCAGATGGTCCGTATCAAGTCTCCACCGATCACATCTTCCTCATATGTTCTGGACAATGCTTGCGGTCCCGGAATCGTGACCGAGCAAGTCAAGCTGCTCCATCCCGAAGCCAAAATCTTGGCTACAGATCTATCACCAAACATGATCGAGGAATTGCAGAAGAGAATCGAGAATAATAAATGGTCGAATGTGAAGACGGACACGCTTGACGTTCGCGACCTTTCCAAGTTGGCGGATAAAACGTTTACTCATGTGCTTACGAATATGGGAATTTACATGCCTAATGATCCGACTTCTTCACTTCAGGCGATCAAGGAGATGTATCGGATCTTGCAATTTGGTGGCACTGCCGTGACTTCGATGTGGGCGGGTGAGTCCCTGCTTGAGACTCCAGATTTCAGGAAAGAAAGCTGACATTTGCAGATCGCGTGTGGCTCTCTGCTTTTTCCAGAGCAGCGCTGATGATCCGACCACTCGAAGAGCCGTCAAACATGCTGAATGTGGAGCCCGAAGTCCTCAGAGGGTCGTGGCTTCTCAAGCAAATCGAAGACGGCGGGTTTGGGAACAACGCTGAAGTCAGACCATTTGCGACTTCCGTCAGTGCCATTAGTCTGGATGAGTTGGTGGATAACATGATGCTGGCTGCACCAATGCTTTTGAAGGGGTATAGCGAGGAGGAACTTTCCCGGGCCAGACCAATACTCAAAGAGGAATTCACGAAATTGCGGACGTACGAGGCGCTGGAGGGCGGAGCGGTAAGGATTGGGATGAAGGCTTGGATTGGAGTTGGATGGAAGAAGGGAGACGAGAAGGAGGTTCCAACATAATTGCTAAGGAAGCAATTCTTGTCAACAAAACGAGATGTGTGGAGAGCTCAACTATGAGATGAGGGCTGGATTATAATGTCGTTAGAGGACTAATTAAATTGTAAACGATATAGAAACAGACATTTCATCTGATTTTTAGCGCACGCACTATCTGGTATGTTGTTATTAATACTCCCAGAAGAATTTTATGTATTTATTGTATTACCAACAGTGAGAAGTTTAGTGTAGCTAAAAAAGGGGGGGCGGGGCTAGACGCTAGACGCTAGGTAAAATGTTTATCCGTTTATCCCTTCCCTTTACCCCTGCAACGAATATCATGACATGGTGCATCTGAGATCTTCAAAACTTTGGGTTGTTGATTGTTATCTTACCATATGCAATCCCTACAATCAACATAATCAATGGCTTCAAAAACGTGTGTCTCGTGTCTACGGATACTCCAGCGTCAATCGCGATTTGTTACTCGGGTTTGTGCCTTCTCATCCCATACATATATCAGCCCTTTTTAACTGTTTAACATAGACGCAAACCCCAGCGACGAGATTCACAACTCCATCCAGAGCGTTCACAACCACTCACAAACGTTTTGCTATACTTGACCCAGATCAAGACAATCCCACCACGCCTAATACCTCGATACCACCTGTCACACCCAAACACACAAAGCAAGGTACTATCACAGCCAATGGTTCAACAGTAACCGACTCCCCAGCCGTAGCTGCCGCGAAAGCCCCTTCACCATCATATCCAAAAGGTGGAGTGATCGGGACATACACAGCATACGGAGCGACAGAGGAGCTGTATAAGGAATGTGCACGACATGCAGACTACACGATACCACAGGCGCAGGATAGTGATTCCGAAATGCCCAAGACCGAGGACGGGGAAGATCTAGGAGTTGGGGAAGGCTGGTGGCATACTGGTATTTCAATACCAAATCAGATGTGTGATAAAATTCAGCTGACATAGAGCAGAAACCGGTTTGAACCCCACATTCAGCACTTGGTCGCAAGTAACAATGCTGCACGTCTACCTTCTTACTGTACGGTTCCGCTGTTTCGACCCGAGCATAGCCAGAGTCTGGCAGCAACATATCCTCGATCACTTCTTTTTCGATGCCGAAAACAAGATGGTGCTGAACCATGGGATGAACGCGCGTGGCACACGAAACAAATACCTGAAGGATCTCTTTATCCAGTGGAGAGGTGTGCTTGCAGCATACGATGAGGGAATAGCAAAGGATGATGCTGTTTTAGCATCTGCGGTATGGAGGAACGTTTTCAAAGCTAGCGAAAACGTCGATATCAAGCGGCTCGCGCAAATTGTCAGCTACATGAGAAGGGTACTAGCGGGATTGGATTCTGCAGATGATGAGACGGTTATGAAAGCGATGATGACATTCGGCAGCCCAGAGTCAGAGGGTGGATTGGTGGCATTCAAAAGCAAGATGATGGACACGCCGTTTGAGAATGCGCCTCCGACACGATTGCCTGCTAAGGAGCAGAAATAATTGGTCTCCTTAGTGGGCAGCCTCAGTGTATTGATACGTTTGTGATGAGATGTATGATTATGAAGATGTTTATACTACCAGGGATAGACAAAGATGGCTTTGGGTATGCGGCAGTATCTCATCTCACGCTACATACTTCAATTGTATCATAAGGAGCTTATATTGGAGCTGTTATAGTATTCAAAGATGTCCTTGTTGAGTCCAACCTTCTGTAATCTCCAATCATCCAATTTCACTTCTTCTGCCTCAAAGATTTCTTCTACTTGATCTACAAACTTTTACGGCATACACATCACTCACTTTGCCCTCTTTAATAACAGGAATCTATTCTTCGTGTCCTCAGCCATTTATTTTCGAGGTATGGCTTGTCTCTGCGCATATTCCATCAAATATGTAGTCCTTGAATGTATTTGGCAAATCTTGGCAAGTGCCCTGAATTCCCACAAGTATTGCCAACAAAACGTCTGGCAGATACATTGTACACTTTTTATGTGAGCAGAAGCATGAGAAAAAAGAAAGGAGACCAAGAAACAATTCACGGCAAAACTTGTGCTTTGAAGAGCTTTCCGGCAACTTGTCTCAAGAAATCAAATAGTGAAAAAAAGCACTTCCAAATGACAATGACAAGTAGGCATTGAATGGAGGCTGTAAACACTTTCCGCAATTGGCTTCAACCCTCCGAGTTAGCGTTATATTTAATTCCTAAAAGCCTTCGCTAGCCCACATTGAAAGTTTAATAATTACCTCGACTTTGCATTCAACATCAATTTTATCAAAGTATCTTCACCTACTTGTTACATTATAAAAAGGTTCGGTATACACTGGCAGCCTGCTCCTACCATGTTCGTTGTCCCAGGGTGAACATATCTATACCTCCCCCCCCTAGTCTCGTCATGTAACACCCAAGTGTTTATTCTAGATTTTGGCTAACTCTATTCAGAGGCAGATAAACTGCAACGGCCAAGATTCAAAGTCAAAATATCGAGCTCTTTGAGCTGCGAGTAAGTGAAACTACCTTTGCCGGGTTGGCCATAAACCACGTAAACTAAATCCTCAATAGACAAATCAATGGTGATACAACCAGCATTGCAGGGAGTGATCCCTACAACATCACCACCCAGGCAACTTCAAGAGCCAGTACTAAAATTTCCAGCGAATAGTCTGTCTGTTTCACGCCTACAACCGACAGCTACGATACCCAGAACGTCAAAACCCCCTCAATTATTGATAATCGGGTACCAAAATAGTCATCGGATGGAGGGGATTACATACCCCGAAGTCGAAGTACAAAGCCTGCAGAGAGAACCATACTAGCAGCAAAGCTTCGGGTTACCTCAGGGCCGAAGTACATCACAACATCAAATTAAATATTTGTAAAGATTCCAGTTCAGCGACCACCAATCTCGTCGTCTTCGGACCTCACGGCATCCAACCTATCAGAAACGCACACACACCACGACTCTCAGCCTCACCAGCATTTCTTTCCAGCAAAAAAGCTCCTCAGGATAACAATGCTCTGGAGATGAATGGTTGGAGCAGCGCCCAGCGCTTCTTGCTAAGTGTCTAGTAAGCTTGTGACAATATTCTGGACAGAAATAATGAGACTAGTTGGAGGTGTAAGTGTAGCAGCAGCATGGGAAAGGGCGAATGAGTGGAAGTTAATGTTTTGCATGGGACCACTTTCTTGTTTTGGGCGTTTAGTTTGGATACGAATTGAAACTGTATGAGATATTATTGAGTCTATGCATGTAATTACCAAAAGCAAGCATGTTGTATGTTTCTCAAAACTGCAGTTTATTATGAGGTTAACAGTTCATATTGAATCTCCTTCTCAACTGCGGCAAAGGGACACTCAAATATGAAGCCCTGGGAAAGGATGCAATTGCTGGAGATGACATATTAAGGATCTGTGATGAAGGCAAGTACCTGAGACTGACCAAGTAATTGATTCACTATTTCTCGTTTTCTTATCAGGCCATTATATGGGCACCTAGTTATTATAAGCCAAGTGTCGTCGTAAAGTGCTGTTCGCTTATATATTCCCAATAGAACCTGCTGCCCTCAAACCAGTACAAGACAGCCGGCAACGAATCAATCACAGTAAGTTATCAGATGTGAATCAGAGCTTTCTCAAGCACGTGGGATTGTCTAAAGCCTTCGATCATAACAATTTTCTTTCCTTCTTTCTTCTGATTCCCAGGTCGTCGACAATATCTTGCAGTCATCAATGGTCTTTACAGTCGCGTCACAAAACACCATGGCTATGTCTTCGACTCTGTACTAAAGTCTGTGGGTACTACCTTCTGAGAGCAGCGCCTGGGACACCACCTTACAATGTAAAGCCGTCTAGGTTATTCACTGACAATGGTGCAAGACTGACTCTTCAACACACTCCTTTAAACTCGCGTTTTTTACAACGCAATTTTACAACACGCATTCCGCGGCAAGAACGCAAGATCACGGACAACAAGATGTCTTCGAAGTAAGATACTATAACCCGTCATCGTTAAGAGCGCCAGGGCATTCTAAAAAATATACAGTAGGAGATTCGTTAATGCTAATTTGTGTGCTCTTGACTACACCATCACTCGGGCTGTTCTGCGCTGGAACCTTGTTCGTCAATTTTCCTGACCCCCTCTGCAAGAACATGCTGATCGGTTGAATAGTACGGCTCGCAGAAGGTCATGCAGCGCTTCAAACCCACACGCCAACAGCAGCGCGCCATCGACTGCTACAACGTATACATGGATACGCACCCGAACGAGACCCCGGAGGAGTTGAGAGCCATTCGTCGCCAGCCGACGTTCATTGACTTCCTCGAAAATGAGTTTGAGGATGGAGACGACTTGTTTGATATCGATGGCGACGACGAATAGTAAGCAGTCTGAAGAATGGGCTTTGCAGGTTAGATCCACTTGAAGTAAGGGAAGATTCCCCGCAGACTTGTGCTTTGTGTATTCTAGGTGCAGATACGAGGGGAGCTAGTCTTCGACTCCTATTCTAGCAGTAACGAACATAATGTCAGTCTCATTGATTTTCAATAAGTCGACATATATTTTGGATTGGAGTTTTGTAGCAGTCAATCAAAGTTCAAGGCAGGGTAGTCATGCATCTAGGGGGTTCCTATGGAAAGAACGAAGAACTTTCGTGCTTTCTTGTTTTAGAAATACAACCTTTGCGTCCCTTGCTGTTCATTTCCGTGAATCAACCACTGCCTGATCTAACGAAGGGCTCATACAGTAAGTTGATTTCCATGGTCATATGTATGTGAAGTGTAGACGGTGAACTCCAGCCGTGTACGGATTGATTTCAGCGACTGAAGTAATTAGCAATGAAATCCGTATCAAGGCTTGAAGGAAAACAGCCCAAGAAATGGATTCTCATGAGGTGCATCATGCGGGATAACAACTGTCACGGATAATTGAGGACGAGTCTCAGCATTGCTTGCCAGCTTCATTACATCCAAAATAAGTCAGCAAACAGAGGCAGATTCAACAACTTCGTCTAACCGAAAACTGGCAATGCATTTGCAAAACACGACCTAGCAATTGGAAAAAGGAAACCGGAACGCGCGTTATTTCCCTAATTGCAAACTGGCATGCAATCTGAAGTCGACGAGCGAATGCTGATGGCATGCAAATTCGACTTTACGCAGAAGTAACCAGGTTGCAACTCAACCGCATGTCATTACAATGCAGTCAATCAATAGTGGTCCATGACCGGGGTGCACCAGACGTATCAAGAATCAGATGGAGGCTGCGACTTGTTGTTGCGCCTTCACATACTATTCCTGGGAGAAGAGACCCACCGTTAAAGCCTTCTTTAAGGATACTTAGCTATAGTGCTCTTCCCAATACGTTGGTCGACAGTCGGGTTACTACAACCACAATAGACACCACTAAAGTTTGGTTTCTTAGATGGCTCTTCTCATCTAATTATCCCTTTCCCACATCTCAAAAACGTATTTCGTTCCTGCCTCCTCCTGCACCTCCCCATAAACACTTTCCCCCACCCACGCATCCAAAGCCTCTTGCCCTCTCCTCCGCCACCCACTCCCCTCCCCGCTCTCGGGTAGCTCCACCGGGAAGAAGGTATCGCATTCAAAATCACTCAATATCCGCGTCAACAATATCCGTCTTGCCTGTTTCAGCTCCAATGCCGCTTCGTATATCTGTGCACCTCCGATTATGAACGCCTTCCCCGTCTTAGATCCGGATTCGGATGCTGTTGATTGTTGAGATAGTAGAGCAAGGGCTTCGGGAAGAGAGCCTACTGTTTGGGATTCGGTAGATGAGGAACGTTCGAGGGAGCGTGAGATAACGATATTTTGCCGCTCTTTCAAAGGGCGGAAGCGTGGAGGTATGCTGTCCCAGGTTTTGCGGCCCATTATCACCGTATTTGTTACCTGGCAATGGTATTAGCAGGGACTCTTATTGTGAGCTGTATGTAACGTACGCCTGGACTCGGCGCTCTCTTCGTTACGCGGGCAAAGTATGCCATTTCTTTCTTCAAGCCCGTCCAAGGGAGTGTGCCACGTAGTCCGATGCCCATTTTCGATGTTGCGGCGACGATGAGAGTCAGCTCGGGAAGAGGCATGGCGGGGTTGTTGTCAGCCGTTGTGGTCATGGCTTTTAGGTGACCGGAGCGTTTTCAAAGATGCAGAGAAATCTGGAAGCTCAAGTGGTGAAACGAGCAGTTGATTGAGATATTCTCTATAGCTCCCACAGTGCATTGAGATTTCGAAATCTCAGTATATTTGTAGGACCTTTGGGCTGACGCGTGAGGAAAATGTACGACGCGCTCGATTCAAGCGAGCCTAGCGCGTTAACCCCGCCCCCTTTCTAATAGAAGTAAGGGGCAGGACTTGAATCTCCAACATTATATTGAACATTATAGGTACTCAATTATCCAAGTATTCTTCTCAATTGGGAAGGAGATTTTGAGTGAATCTGGTTACTGTGTCCTTTAATACTACTCCATGAATTAGAACCTAATGGTTTAGTCCGGGAGTAACCCCTCCCTTCCACGTCTTCCAGATCAACTCAGCTTTTCAATTTTCTTCACCCAAATAGTGATCAGATTACTCCTAGTGGAGTTAAGCTTGAATACATTTAATTCAAATATTACCAGCTCTAAGGAATCCATTTATGGCAGTACCATTAGCATCAAAAACAGCCACATGTCTAGCACGTTAGACAACTATCCACGCCGTGGGTCTACACTCCAGAACACATTAAATGGAGACTTGGATGGAGTCAAAACCCCCATTTGAAACTTTTAGTTAACTTTTACACACCGCAGAGGCTACCACTTCCCATTGTCAATCTCGATGTGCGTTCGCCGTTGATTACTACATGATGATCTGACTAGAGAATTGAGTACCTTCTTGGCGAGCAATAACCTTGCGTCAAACCGAGATTTTGTCATGGGGCATTGAAATGTACCGTGAGCAAGACTTGTTGACCCAATCAAATCCCTGGCTATGTAGTAGGACGGGACGGGGTAGAATAAATGATTTGCAGAAGATGAGGGACTATTACCCCATGAACAAAAAGGGCATTGCGCTGAATTGGTCAAGTAGCATTGGACGATAGGCCAAGCAAGGATTGTAATTTGAATAAGAACTGAATTGTAAAATACTCTGACCCACATGTTGTAGGGATCATCTCATACAAAAGATGCTAACGATGGGATCTTCTAGCATGTCCTTGTAGGATGCTTTCCATGCAAGATCCGAAGCGGCACAGCGCTATGGTGTACTTTTAAATGGGATTAGAGCTGTGGCAGCTATAAAAAGCGGAAATTGCACCAATAAGTACATTGTGGTCGTAATAAAAAGGGCTGGAAGGAATACGGTAAGCACAACGCAGATGAACATTCATCAGTATCAAAAGGAAGGAAAGGAAGCCGCAAAGACTGAGTAGGAAGATGTCGGCGGGCACTACAGTACCAGCATGTCTGGCCAACGGGAGATTGCCCCGTCTCATTTTGCGACAACAGCACAAATCGAGGTATAGGAACGAACGAAGACGGAAAGTACATTCTAATGGCCAATAATAACGAGGACTCTACGGAGTACAGCAAAGCTCAACAAAACCCTGGAGATCATTTCTATAGAAGAAATGGAAAATAGGTGGATGAGGAAAGGCTCGTGGCTCAGCCCTGTGGCTGCAGCCAGACTCCTTAATTTTACGTCAAAGGAATGCCGTGACAGCAATACTTCAAGGACCTACTGATTATGTTCAATGCGGCGTATCTTAGTGCTCACTAGGGATCGTCGCAGTGCCGGGGGATCAATGGAATCTTAAAGCAAGTATATCTATCTATCATATCAATTTCTCAACCTTCCTTGTGTAAAACACCCCCACAACCTTTCGCCATCGATGGCAACTGCTCCCAACTCTCCCGATTCTCCGAGAAACGGTAGAAACGTTGATTTCGAAGAAGAAAGCCCCCCTTTATCACACGGCAGCTCAACGAGTACCCGCCATAAATGGATCTCACGAACTAATCGTAGTCGTACTGATGTTGTCGCCCATGTCGAATCACGAGCATTCCGTCATTCAAGTATTGTAAAGCGACCTCAGGCTTTACATTACAAAAGAGACGATGATCCTAACAGTAATGACTTTCCTCTGCTGGAAAGGAAGCTTACTAGGCCGATGAGCAACAGTAGTGGGAGTAGCGGGGGAGATGGAGAAGAGCGCTCCACGGATGACCTTCTCAAGCAGATTTCCCGTTTGGATCTATTTGTAGATTTGATTTGGATTGGTAGTAAGTTGTTGATTCTTCAGAGAAGCCAGGATTATTCCAAAAGAGTTGAACCCCGTTTTCGTCGGACGGAATTTGTAGTTTCCTCAATGTCTTATAATTTGTGAGACATTTTCACCAGGATTCACCTTACTATATCTGCTAGATTCTCAAATTAGTACTGATCTACTATCTAGTTGTCGCCAACTTATCTGAAACTTTCAGTGAACAAGCCTTCACGGACAGTGGTGTCGGTATTGGTCCTGCAATCCTGGAATTTATGCTTCTCTTTGTCCCAATTTGGCGGACTTGGGATCATTTGAGAGCTTTTTGTATCAACTTTTTCGTCGACGACATCCTTCAGCGCAACTTCATTGTCTGGATCCTCATTCTTTCCGTTCTATACGGAGTAAATGCGCCATACGCCTTTGTCGCTCATGAGGGTAAGAGCTCATTGACGCTACTTATCGTATTCTATCTGATACTGCGAGTTTCGTTTCTGGCTGCGAATATCGCCCAGGCATTTTTTATACCCTTCCTCAGACGACAAACGCTCTTCAGGGTCTTCGCCACTATCTCTTCAAGCGCTTTGTGGATCGCCGCAATATTTGTTCACTATCCCGCCAAGATTGGGTTTCTCATTGCAGCTAATGCTATTGAACATCCCGTCGATATCTTCTTGGCTTCTCCGATAGCTGATGCCTGGCTTACTCCTGGCTGGAAGAGAACACCGCACATAGACCATTACATTGAGCGCCACGAAGGTTTCTTCATCATCATTCTTGGTGAAGGCGTCTTTCGTCTCATCGAAGGTAGCCCATCCGGTTGGGGCTTGAACGGACACACCGGTACCGTTGTCATAGCATTAATTATGTACTATTTGCTGCATTGGCTGTACTTCAATGGCGACCATACTAAGCAGTTTGTCCACGCCTTACGGCGTACGTGGTGGAAGCCTGTATTGTGGCAAGCGTAAGAAAGCTTCCCACCTTCCCAGAATCTACTACTGACAGTCATCCCAGGCTTCACGTCTTCATGTTTGCTTCACTTCTTGTCCTCGCCGCGTCAACACTCTTCTTAGTAGAGCATCAGGATGTCAAGATCCATTCGTCAGACGATGCTCCCACTGTTGAGCGCCGTGCCGAAGAAGCAGAACCAGCACCAAAGGCTGCCATTTTTGCCATCTGGTCTGCTTCCGTCAACCTTAGCTGCGTGATACTTTTTATGACCTGCATTTCACTTCTAAATCGACCCTTAGACAAGCCGAAGACGCTACTTGTGAACTCAAGATGGCTGCGGATAGGTGGAAGATTACCGATCATCGTGATAATATGCTGCTTACCGTTGATAAAATCGCTTACTTCATCCATGTGGTTTGGGATTGTGGTGTGTTTGCTATACGCGGTGTCTTTCTGGGAGTGGATTGCTGGACTGGAGAGAAATTGGAAGTTATTAGAACCGAAAGAGGAGTAATATATTGGTTTGAGAGAGGGCTTGGACCGGGAATGTGAAGTTTATGATATCCGGATGCGGAAGGAGTACCGGTGAAGTTCTGACGATCAGATATTATGATATTTATGAATAGCCACGAAATGGATACTAGGAATGAATGTTTATACTTTCTCCCCTTCTTTCTTTAGAGGCAAGAAAAACATCCACTTCCCCCGATGATATCTCTTTTCGTGTTAAACATTCTCAACAATGCCTGAAATATTTATAAATTCTTTCCTTTGGGTCCTTTTTGGAAGACCACTTAATATACGTGAGTCCTTTTTCCGAGAATATTGTGTCTGTTGTAAGCAGAGACTTTTCTTTCTATATTTGCCTTCTCACATGAACTAACAGGTAGTCCTTTTCAAGAGAGCAAAGGCGGTGGAGGTGAAGAAAGAGCTGGCAAAAAAACCATAGAAAAAGACAAGTAATTATTTCTCTTCTGTAGTAATATTATTGAAGCCTAGAAAAGCCAGATAATAGATCATATCATAATTGAAATGCTATCCCGGCGCAAACATTTTTTTAAACAGGAGTTTAAAAAAACTCTTAACATAGGCAGGAATTTTCAAAAATATATCAAAAAGATATTTTCCAAATTTCCGTAACAGGGAATTGAACCCTGATCTCCTGCGACCTTTAATAAGCTAGTATAGCTATTGAGAGGCAGAAATGCTAACCATTACACCATTACGGATGTGTTTTTATGACCATCAATATTTATTTTGATATATAGTAGGGTTTGCTTCTCGCTACCCGATTGTGGGTCTGCGGGATCTAGTCTTTTTCTTTTTCAGGATTTGACTATATATATGGATTATACATCCTCTGTAAATTGGAGGTAGAACTCCTAAGTGGTTTCCTTTTTAATCTAAAACGCTGTTATACGTAGCCTTTATAACCTTAAGGATCCCTCGAATGACGCGTCAACATATATCAAATCACATGACCTTGAAATTGGTTGCTGAGCTGGAATAGCCATCGATCTTAAGAAAGTATACATTAAGATAACGTGTTATATAACCAATTTTCAGAATCTGGTCACCTTTTAGCCATTTTTCTTTCTTTGCTGTCCAAATGTCCAGAGGTACATTCGCTGTCACGTGATTATTATTCACACTTCACCATCGCAACGACGGCGTCTTGAATTTAGATCGTAGGACAGCTCATCATATGCTAAGTTGTAGACTAAAACTTGAACATAGTTGCCTAGAAAGTTTATGCATTCCCTCTTCTAGTGAAGACTTCAGAGACTATTCAGCGGCTTGGCTATCCCTATACGCGGCTTTCACCTATATACCAAGTTCCAACCTCCCATAGGGGAAGCTTTCGGTTTTCCTTTCTATTTAGGTCGAGGGGAAGATGTTGTTTTAGTGCTTTGTGTCATTCTGACACAAGTACTTAACTCTGATATCTTAAAGTCTTTGAATTGCAGGTATAATACAAATTGACCACGGATTCACTGCGCTGAAAATGCCGTATTGTATTGTGTTGCTCGTTGATGAAGTTCATGAGAATGTATTGGTCTCACTTGACGTTGTTTGCTCAGGATGGAGAGAGGGAGGGGCTTCGAGCTGTCAAAAAAGCAGATCATGGGATAGTCATTTGCGCCTGGAGTCTGGATCTATCGCTTACCCGGCGCACTTTCCAAGGAGACGAGTCTTGAAGAGGGTATGGAGTACCTCGACCGTGTTGAGTCTGGGGAGGAAGCGGACTATGAGCATGAACTGAACAAATTGAAGCTGAGGTTGACTCAACAGCTTGAGATGGAAAGATGCTGTACTAATCTACAGGAAAATGGAGCGGTGTTCTACCAAGATCCGGCGGAGTGCTTGAGGTGAAGATTTTGGTTCTTTTGGGCAGTGATAGGGTTGACAAGGTAGTCAAAGTACGTAACTCGATTTGGAAGCACTAGAATCACATCAAAGAATGCCATCAAACTACTCAATTCCTAATTCCAAACTGTTCTCATCAACTACTAGCATATAACTCTCTTATGATTTTCCCCAGTATTCCACGCGAATGCTCGATCAAAGCAGAATCGAGCAAAGAAGCCCTAGTCCTCACTATTCATTTATGTATCTTGGTCGCAGTGTTTTATATGACAGTCTTGAGAGTAAATATAGCGAGAAAGTAAACAAAAATGCGAAGTGCAACAAGAAAACCAACTGGAGTAAAGTGAATACTGAGGAATATGAATAATATCACCATGAACGACAAATTGAATTGGAAAATAACTGGGCGGAAAAGAAAAAATCGTAGGATGTACATTAAAGCAATGATACTTAATCAGAATGCAGGCGTTTTTCTGTGTTTCAATATCTTGGGGTAGCAGGATAAACAGCACATCGCTCTTCATTCGACGTTGTCTCCATATTGCATGAGGCATCTGCCAGTTTCTAGCTTCAGTCACAATATATCTTTATCATTCTGGAACGTGACTAGGGATACCAGCGTGGCGTGGACGCCTACCTGGGATTATACTGGCTCTGATCAATCTCCATTACTGAGCGGCATAATCTGGTGATACGACGTACACTTTACTCCGTACCAATTGATGATCAAGGCTGCTCTTGCTCCAACGAAATAGAAGAACCGTACATGTCCAATACGCTCTGTGCAACAATTGGATAATATACGTGGTATGGAGTCGCATACCGCAAACAAAATAATATCGCAGCGAAAGAGTTGAATTGACTTGTAGAAAATGACAAGAACACTTTGTCATCAGTTCATGCCAATGTTTATCGGGAATGAGTGGACTTATGAACTGCATTATGTCAAAGAACACAGCATACGTATCCACCGTTGTAGATCCTGAAAGCCGCAGATAAATCATAATGAACGACGTCAACCGATTCCCTGCTTTCGATCGTCAGCCCATTGATGCACTGTCCCGCGACGCCAAGCATGACTTGCAGCCGTTCAGTCGGATCGAAGTCTTCATTGCTCCATCTCGCATTCGAGCCCGGGTGTTCATGTCGAGCGCCGTGTCATGAGTATTTTTGATAAAGATCTCGCATATTGGGCCATCTGATTTTAAGTTGGTGGCTTTTTCAACGGGCCTTGGACCCTGAAGTCAACCCGGTTGGTGGGATCGCTTTGGGCCAGGGCGGGATGCAGCAATCATTAGCTCCGTTGATGTTTGCTTCTTCGAAGAGGCAACATACGATTTGCTAGAATTATATGAACCGCATCTTCAAATAAAGACCAGAGTTTGAACCTTCAGAAAAAGAGAATACTAGACGCACGCAAGCACTCTCTTCAAAACCACCGGCAAATAACGCATTAGAGATACCGCCAACACCGTGGACTTGGGATTCGGCGCCACTTGATAGAGACACCAACTTCCTTGAGGCTCAAGACGGGGAAGGTTTCTGCGAATTGTCCACTCGCTACGATTGGGATTAACACCCGATCGCCAAAAGCAGAAGGTCTGTAAAGAACACCATCACGTGTTGTCGTCTGACACCCTAGCAGGTTCCCGGTCTGACTCACGAGCTCCTATTTGAAGAGAAGATAAATAAACGAGTTTTATGAGAAGGGTTCTGAGTTTGTGATACTTCGGCATTTGGAGAACTCTTGGATCATGGCCACCAACTCAAGCGAACAAGAGCTGAAGGAGGTAGGCGATGCTCCCCGAGTCATCAACCCCACTCCTGAAGAATTGAAGGCATCCGCCTATGATACGCCCAATATCGAAGCTGCCATGGTGGCGCTTCATCAGGATGGCTTTGTTGTGCTCAAGAATGTCGTGGACATCGCTCATGTTGATCATATAAATTCGTATATGACTGGAGAAGCAGATGAAATCATCAAGAACAATGCTAAACCCTTCAACCAAGGAGTAAAGTGTTCGTCTAACACCCCTTCTTTTGGAATATATCTAAACTCCGTCAGCAAATATACTCCAAGCTCCGCCTTTGAAAGATGCTGAGTATCTTTACAATGATGTTTTCTTCAACCCTTTCGTGATCCAACTTATGAATACGTGGGTTACGCTTCGCCTCCTGAATTTTCATCTCAAGACTGATTCTGTGAGAGCAGGTATCTGGGAGCAAAACCGATTTGGAACTTTGTGACCGGTAACAACGCTTTGCCCCACACAAAGGGGCTTCGCCAACCAGTTCACAAGGACATCACGTTCTTCCATCCTCAGGTACTTTTGCGGAATCCGATTTCCAGTATCACTTACTCAGTGTCTTCTTCAAGTGCCCATTTTTCGTAATTGCCAACGTGCCCCTATGTACCTTTAACCCTACCACTGGGTCCACGGAATTCTGGTTGGGATCTCATGCCTCGACTTCAGGCCACGAGCAAATGATAGCTACGCCGGAAACACATCTTGCAAACGCAAGACTAGTTGTAGGAGAGCCGACAACAAATGTCCTTGACCAGGTCAGAGAAGAAAGAAGGAAAGCCAGACCTCCGGTTCAGCCTAACTGTGACAAAGGGGACATAATGTTGAGGGACTTGCGAACATGGCACGCGGGAATGCCGAATGAAAGTGACGAATATAGAATCATGCTTGCTTTGGGATACCAGGTGAAAGAAATCCCTCTTCTTGACAATTTCCTTACCTCAACTAATATCAATGTCGATCTGTTACTCGTGGGAGAAGCTAACTTGTGTGCAAAGGCACAATGGTACCCAAACCATACCCTTCGCACGAAACTTCCCTTAAGCCAAGGGAACTTCTTCATGAAACACGCAGGCCAGCCCGTAGAAGTTCGCGCGGACCTTCTCCCCGATGATAGCGACTTTGGAACGCTGAATGACGATTTCCAATTTAGACCTTCGGGGTGAGAAAGCATGGGGGAGTGGCTGGGAATTTGACATAGCATCCACTGTTTGCATTAAAACGTCTCGTTTCATTTAGATATCATAGTACATGTTGAATGATGCGCATGTGACGCGTGTATGCAATTTTGTTGCACTTCGCATGACCCATTCTTTGACACTGATGGTAAGCGTATTGAAGCAACGGCTAAAAATCTCTTAAAGCAGTTGCCCTTTCATCTAATATCGAAAAGTGATAGGTAGTGAGGACCGGCATTGTAGGGAGAATAGTTCTTTTTAGGTATGATTGAGGACTGATGAAGATTGAGGGATTTCGGCACTAGACGTTTGATTTTGTAGGTGATTAGGAGAGGAAAGGGGGAACCGGCTCATGGGTCGGAGACCTTCACCACGTGATTCTGATACTGCTGAAAAATGATTATATAAACTTCAGTTTTGCAGATAAAATAGCATAAGCCAGGGTAAAATAAATGATGGGAAATGAATGCAATAATACTTCAATATCAAAACCTCTTCTGAACCTCTATGTCACGTGATCATACAATCCAGCCGGCTTGCCTAGCGTAGCTGAAATTTAGTCCTGGTGGTCTGCTGGCTCGACTCTCGCTGTCTTCTTTAACATCCAACCTCAATTCTACCTCACAGCGTGCTAATTTGTGTTGAGCTTTGAAGCTGACGACAGTGATGATACCTCGTTCGTATTTCGGTCGAGCAGTCAAAAATGGGGTTGATCGCCAGTTCACACTCTATCCAGTGTCCACCGATGTGCTGGACTGCACACCGAATTATCACACACCACGTCGTACATGTGATGCCGAGTTAACTCTGCCATTTAGGGACGACTACCAACAAACCAATATCAACCCCAACGCAACGCTCCTACCATGATCGTGATTTCTCATACCGGTACGAACGCGATACAATGTCAGATATATATTAAAAACGAAACCCGGAGTTCTTGGTGTATGTACGAAGTATTTGTCGGATATTGCAGTGTTCTTTCTACTCGCAACAGTCCTGATGCGGAAGGTGCTCTGCTCTGGCCGTTTATTGCCTCACCACCTACTTGTACCTATGTAGTGCAGGGTAGGGTCAGGGTTTTGTGGTACCTTTTCCACCCGTAGTGATCTCTGATGGCGATCTATCCGGATAACACGAAATATAGTGATCAATTGCTTCATCGGCATCATCGGCGGTATTTAACGGTATACAGTAGAGTACAACACAACCTACTCGAGTAGAAGGCTAGAAGGCTGTTCGCTGAGTACAAGAGACACGGCGCAAAAGCTTCAATTCGTCAGCATCCCAACTCTCTGGCTTGTCTTCCGAACCCCAGCAACACCCAGATAATTACATAGCTACTGTACTGTAGGTAACTTGCTTTTTCACCAATGCCAAGCAAGGGACCTCCATGCTATGGCTGGCATCGCAGATTTCCCCAAAAACTGTGCAGTGCACACACCTCGGTCAACCCCGCTCTGAAGATTTTTCAATGTTGGAAGATCTCAGTATTTCTTTCTCACTCTAAGCTCCTAGAGTACTAGCAACTGGGGAATCCACTGGGATGGTTCGGGTTTGGACGCCCTTCCCGGCTTAGCCGTAAGCCTTGGCGTGACCCCGCATATTACTGTATGCTTAATCCATGCCCCGCACTCTTCACCCCTGTTCCAATTCCCAACCACCTTTCCTGTTCCTTACAGCTCGTCCGTCTTCGCAAAGTACGGAGTATATTCAGCTACCCTAGCTGCGTATCTCGGATTGACACCTTCAATGGGGTTTAGTTGGCTCTTACGAAGTATCCCCCTACCAACGGCTTCCCTCCGCAAAAAGCATGCGCTGTGCATCCCGCCTCCAACATCTCGCCGAGGTTGGTGACTGCAGTGTGACTCGCGGCTCGCATGCACATGGGCCGTTATCGTCAAAGTGACGAAAATCACATGGAAACAGAAAGTTGGGTAAAAAGCCTCAATTGATCACCAAGTGAATTAGGTATCGACTGGTCGGACCTTGGTCATTAGAGTGAGCCAGGTTCTCCGCTTCTCTCCGTACACCTTCTCCGCCTCATTTTACTTTCAATTGCTCTCATTTTACTCTGAAATCAACCAAGATGAATCATGTTTGGTGTAGAGACAAAGTCCGTACAGCTATGCAACTTTGTACATCACTGACGTCCGCTGGAACAAATTTTGCTAGCACTGATTGGCCGGAGTGGAGGCTTCTAAAGTACATTCTCAACCTTGATATTGACCCACCCTAGCTGTTTGCACCACTAGCTGCAGGCCGATCACAAGTTTTATTGGCAAGCTTGACAGAATATGGCAGTTCGCCGATAGTCATATAGATTTTGCTGCGGGGAACCATTGTCCCAATCACCGAGAAGTCTAGCCTTGCATATGATCTCACTATTATACCGAGTATATGTTTCCGAGCTGTCCGCCTTCAATTGATGTACGAGCTTAGGTAATCCACTGTCGTTCAAGAACTCCTACGTTATGCTTGCGGAGATGAAGTTGGTCTTTATTTGGTCTGTTATCGCCTTTGCTGGCTATGCAACAGCAATTCCAGCATCGACAACTGCTGCTTCAGCAACCGCTACGTCAACAATACCCAAGTCCACTGCTACAGTGACCGCGAGCGGCGGAAGTGGAAATTCCTACGCATCGTATCTCTCCTTGGTGGCTGCTGGATCCTACGACGCAGCAGCTTCCCTCTCAGCAGCCGGTGGCTTTGTCTCTGTATCCTCAGGATCATACGCCCCGCCCTCTGCCTCATTCGCCTCATTCGCATCGGATACAGTAAGCGGTCCTATCAGCAGCTTCACATCAGGTACAGTGGGCGGTGGAAGCCCTCACGCATCGTATCTCTCCTTAGTAGCTGCTGGATCGTACTCAGCAGCAGCTTCCCTCTCAGCAGCCGGCGGTTTTGTGTCTGTGACCTCGGGATCATACGCACCACCTGCTGCATCATTCGGCTCATATGTTTCAAATACAGTGAGCGGCGGTGTCAACGGTTATGCATCTTATCTTTCATTGGTAGCGGCGGGGTCCTACTCAGCAGCTGCCTCTCTCTCAGCAGGTGGTGGTGCCCAAGTATCTGGCAGCGCAGGAAGCCTCGTGAGCTCAATTCCAGCATCATTTTATTCGACGACGCAAGTTACCACGAGTGTAGTGGTGGGAACGACGACAAGTACGGGGGCGGCACCGAGCGCACCACAAGCGACCGCCGCAGCGGGCAGGATCTCAGCTGGTGTGGGGATGATTGGAGCTGCCGCATTGGCGGTAGTGATTGCGCTTTAGAGGAATTAAACCCTTAGATTTCACGGATAATGGGATAGGATTTAATGTCAATGATTGGATGGTCACGGACGGCGTTGGCTCGGATTGGGTGGGTGATTGTCTATAACGCCTGACGATCCTTAATTTTAATAGATAGAACGAAGACTGAGCTATAGGTGGATAACTCATTCGCTGGACGACACACCACATCTGGTATGAAAATATATACCCTGGAGTACTGTTAATTAATTGTCTTGGATGCCGTGAACTTGAAAGAAATCGCTTGTGGATAATCAATTGCAGACGGAACGTCGTCAGCCTTGCAGACGATCCAGCAGTGCAGATAGTGGCAGATCAAGCATCTTTCGTGTTCCTTCCGGCTCCTTCCCGCAATTGAAGCGATTGCCGACATAACTTTCTTGATCCTGAAGGATGCGACAATTCGCGTGTGATTGTGATGAACCCGCTTGTTTACAAGTCTCATGCTTTATTAATAATTTCGGATAAACTTGGAGCTTGTTATTCTGGCTAAACATCCTGCTGCAAGGTCCCCTCGAGATTTTTAAGGTACCCCCGTGGGGGTTACAGATGATTGCTTTTCGGTCACGTGGTTATACTATTCTTGTACGATCGCTATGCGCTAAAAATGAAAAGTTATATTGATCGAGGGCTCTAATAAATGAGTGACTGAGTAATATAAATATCTATCGTGAAAATACTAGACTACGATCATGTCTACCGGGAGGAAGTTAGGTGATATACAGTCACGTGTACAAATATCCTCACTTTCCGACTAGTTCTTAAGCCAGCCACCTCTTACTATAGGCCCAGGCTATAGTATATCATGGGCTTATTGAATGGATGTTTTGAAGAGCCCCAGCCAATTAGAATGACTTCTGTCGAGATTACAAGAAAATTTAAGTGATGATAGCAAGTCCAAAGAGCTATAGAGAGTGGGAAGCCCTTGCGTTCCTTAACAATAGTCATTTTATATGCCATCATTCAGCGGCTGGAGTAGAAAACAGACAGTCTTGGACTTCGGGGTACGAATACCCGAAAGGTTGCGGCTAGCGGGATGTTGTAGATGTGTAGGGAGTTTGGCTATGTCCAGAGGTGAAAGGGGAAAGTGAGATGTCGACCATGGGGGGCACGTTGATTGGGATAGTGAATGTTCCGTTTGACAGGTCGCTTTGGGTAGATGCGACAAGGAAGACATCAGGATTGATGGCTTCCTACGTAGTAAATAGGCGGTCTATGTTCGCGTGATGAAGCCAGCTAGAGTGCTTGTATTATTGTATCACGCCCCTGACATCTTTCTAATTATAAGCTTCAAAAACAATACCGTGCCTCTACTTACATTTCCTCACACTTACCCTTAAAAATATTTACAATAAAGTCTAAATACGTTAACGCCCCCCCCCCCCGGCCCTTAGCGCCTAGGATTCCCTAGCGTTGATCCGGATTTTGATATCTTTCATTAGCGCTACGACATGCAACAAAGAATTTAGAGTTTGGTTATGCATTAGGATTAGGTTGGCGGTGAATAAGTGGTGGTAGTCGGAAAGGGGCAGATGGGGGAAAGTAGAAACGGATGTGGAAATTTGCTACGTAGAAGTAAAGTATAAAGTGAATTGGAAGTATAGGGGCAGGTGTAAGATGTAGAAAAACGCAGTGAACTTCACAAGTTGAAGAGTTCCATATTGAATCTCACACTGACAGAGTACTCGAGAGCGTAGCGGACTGGTGGGTAAGTACGTACAAAATTGGATCAAAGGCTAAGTAGCTGAGATCCAGCCCCATGTGACCAATGGTAATGGGAGCTTGGCTGGAGCCAACTGACTGGTAGACTAGGCTGTGCACTTATTTAAAGGATTTACTTGCAGTATTTCTAGTCAACATGGTATTCCAATCCGTTACCTGTGCGAAGAAATCATACTAAGCTGCTGTTAGATATCTTCAAAAAGACCTAAGCTTTGTTGCCCACTCACCGTGTTCTCTACAAAATCACGAATTCCTAGGGCGCTTTTAGCATTTTCCGATATAATTGTGTGATTATAAGTAGATAACGGCCCATCCATATCGCGAGAGAACCAAGTTGGGTTCAACGGAAGTTTTTCGAAGTTGTAGGTCCAAGGAGGATTGGCAACATTTTGCTAGCTAGAAGGTGTATTGATTGTAATAGTACCAGTAGTGGCACTCTCTGGCATCGAGGGAATAGCAGCCCAGTCCCAATATGGAATGCGAGAATCGTCTGCCGCAGTCCGATAAACTGCGGATTTGTACGTCTTGGCAATGCTTTGAGTATGGTGGGCAAGTATTTATTATAGATATTCTTAGCCGAGAGAATGCAGACTACCAGAGAAAGTGAGTAACTCAAGAAGGGCTAAGTAAGGCCGATGACGAGTTGTAATAATGCGTCGTAGTGTGTGCAATATCCAATTAAGGATGCGACAGGGTCTTGTTCATAGCCGCCCCAAGCGTAATATGGCATTCCGTGGACTCCTATAAGAAGTCATCAGTCTTCTGATGCGATGCCTCATTCGGATTTCATATGCTCATCAGCGATTTCAAATCGCCGATTTGAAAGAACAGCAAATCGTCTTCTGGAGTGTACTGCATCGCATGGGTGCTTGAATATAAAGAGACCTTATAACGTTAAGCAGAGTCTCATAATCCCGCCAAGAAAAGAGAATGATATGTTGGAATATTGCTTTGAAGAAATAGAAGGTTTCTTCTTGTTGATCTTGCGCCTGTTTGTGTATTGATGTCTCTTTGAACACCTCCTAAGGGGTACTTCGATTAGGCAGTGCCTAGTAGAGCAATGCTTACGGCCAAGAAGACACTGGAGGTTAAACCGAACATGAGAGAATACTATAACGTTTATTTTGAAAGTGTTCATTGCTGCTTTGCTTCTTATACCTTGACAAAACTACGCCTAACGACACTCCCATGGTGAGGATAAAACGCATGCTTCCCAAAAACCGATGCCAGTCCTTCCGATTTTGCAAGATTTAAAAAGTAGCAATGACCGCAGCAGAGTCAGTACTCGATTTTTTTTTTTCCAGGTCTGAAACTGGGTCCTTCTAGCGTGGAAAGATAGATTCTACACTTATAATTGGCTCTTTACCCTAGCATAAATCTGCATCACAGCAGGGAAGTGAATTGAGACCTCTAGGAGCCCTGTACTGGCTATATCTAAGCTCTCTAAGTGGCGCGGGGTAAAAAGTTGTGAAGTGAAAAGAGACACAGTCACAGACTTAAAAAAAAAAGCGAGTGATATCACTAGTGTGAATGACAGTTACATCGAGTATGCGAGATTATCGATATGCGGTTTAGTAAGTACTTTCGTAGGTAGCATCAGTCACCAAGCATGTCAGCCGCTTAGCTAAGAGCAATACGAAGGTATACGAATGGTTAGAAGCACGACATAATATTTCCCACTCTTTAGGACCACCAAACCGAGTCTGACTGGCCGAGTCTGCGCCTTATATCGGCACGCATTGTTAAGACCAATCGGTAGCGTCCCATATCCCTCCACTCTTTTGAAAATTAAGCATGATGCGGCGTAGATACCACGCGGCAGTGTTCCGGATCCTGAACCTCCCATTCTGGTGAGGATGATAAGCTGTAGTTCTTGATTTGAATATACGAGGGAAATAATCCCGCATCAAACAATCGTATTAGTACAGTTCAAGCCCAAAATGCAAAGGCACTCGAGAAAAAGGTTTCCCTTCTCTTGGTTGACTCCGTACTCACTTCTTTTATATCGCATAGCGGTATCTACAGTTCTATTACTTGACCTCATGTTGTCTGTCTTCCAACGGGCCGAAGATTTCAAAGCCATTTGAAGTAGCTTGGCGTGACTATTGAACCTAGCTAGTTGCAACTCTTAGTTAAACTGACATTTTGTTGCACATCGACAATTTTAGCTCCACTCTTAGCTGCATCCAACCTAGGAGAAGACCACTGAAGTCGCTTGATAACCGATGTTGTGAATGCATCTATTAGCTAAGGGGGCCTTGTGCGAGTCGAGAGTTCGGGCTTAGCTTCCAACAAGAAGATGCATTGCGACCGGGGACGGGACATATGGTTAAGAATCATAATAGAGAAAGTGAGCCCAGGATCGTAAAAATATTACCATTTGAATTAGAAAATAAGTTACGGTGGCTGATATACTCGTAAGTTACCACCTATGTGAGGGATTATAGGGAGTGGGAAACTTTCTTGTGGCCTCTTAAATATCCACCATTCAGCTATCAAGACTTCAATTACGAGTCTACTAGAATGCGTTCACATTTCCCGCAAAAAGAAATTTTTTTGAACATGGGCCTTGAGCTAGAGCGGCAGACGTGGTGAATTGATAGCGGTTTTGCTTCTTTCCCTTCCTTGACTAGCTGTATTCTAGAATGCAGCACAATAACATGCTAGTATATTCAATAGCACGTAAGGCAACCAAGAGCAGAGTATAACAAGGGAGGGGGGAGGCAGAGGAGTCGAACAAGTGTTGCTTTCGCTGGGCATTGATATCTCATTCTGCGATGCGCTAGAGGATGGTCAACTGCTTCCCACCGTCCGCATCAATCTCTTGATACCTGGGAAGCCTGAATATTCAATCAATCGCTGGATGTCAACAATATATAGCAAAAATTTCTTCTCGAGTACAAATTTAAGACACACAGCGACAATCGTTTGTAATCAGAGATTCGCGACTTCGGGCCTCGACGCGAAACATCGCGGGGTGAGAAACAGCAAATTCCAAATCAAAACATCGCACAGGCAGAGTTGTCCATTATACGCGTCGCAACAAATCAATATCAAAGACAAACTTTGGCAACATCATGTTCTGGACGTATTGGCATTATACAGGGAATATCGCGGTGAGGAGACAGTGGTGCAGTAATTGAAGGGAGTGAGTGAGTTTGCAAAGTCTACAGTGTGCCGGGAGAGAAATATTTAAGTGTTCTGAAATGAACGCAGCGTGGCTGTATAAAAGTGCACCAATGATCTTTCATCCTCCCTTCACACACTCATAGGTAAATACTCAGCACATGATAACCTCATTTGATTATCCTTGATTTGTTGGGCTATTCTCTTATGTAGTATCATGGAACAAAAAGCCAAGTTTTGCTTCCACTAGTTCTCTTCTACAAATAAGTAAAAAAATGATTCGACATAATACTGATATGGGTTCCTTTCTCGCATCATCATCGGGACCATGGGGAGTTGAATTTGCTATTATTAGTGAGGAGTAAAGTAGAACCATCAAGATAATATACATATGCTCACTTATACCCGAACTAAATGTCAAAACTCCGCATCCAAGACTCCCTGATATACGCCCCCTGAACCCCAGTCCGTTGTAGCCCAGTCTAGACTATTCATATCAACGTCCAACGGAGCTTGTCCGGACATGTTGGGGTAAAGCGGACCCATAGTTCCGTAATCGCTTTGACCTCCCATACTATACAGCTGGCCGTGGCTACCAGAGCTCATCAGCATCGATATCTGCAAATTGTTCATGTTCATGTCCATGCCCATACCGGTTTCAAAGTTGGGCTGTTGTGTCTCAGCAACCTGTACGACTGGGCCCTTTTGAGCTATTCTGGCTCTGCTAAATGTCACAATACTTGGTGGCACCAACGGCTCTCGCAATTGATCGACAGCTGCCTCACGAGCCTCCCATGCCTCGAGGACTATGTTGGCGAATATTTCCAAGAAAGGATTTTTGAATGCGGTGGCCATAAACATTAGCCGAGCCTCAGAATTATCACTCATCACTTCCCAGGCCTGTTCAGCGTACGCACTAAATGGCCGCCTTTTCAGGTCTTGAAGGATGTGAACAAATGCGGGAAACGGGAAGTGCACGTTAACTTGCCAAAGGAATCCCTTGGCAAGGGGCGAGGTCGCGAGTTTTGTATCGCACTCAAGCATGCAGAGCGCATGGGAAATGGAAGCTTCTCTCTGTACATCTCGCTGCGTGTCTGTTGGACGTACAGAGGAGTTGGCATAGCTCGAATGGTATTCTAGCAAGCGGCATCTAGCAAGGTGTGCTCGTGTCCACCAGATCGTCATAAAGTGAAGTGGATTATCTGGGTCACAATATCTGAGATATTTGTCCTCAATCATTTTCTCTAGGATGACTAGTTTAGCCAGATCATGTTGACCAGTTTTGGCAACAGGCTTTAGAGCTGGGTTGGTAAAGTTAAGGTTGAATGCTGAGTGGCGGACAAACTCCGCGATCTCACCGCGCACAACGACGAATATGGAATCCGTGGAACTCCCTTGGACCAATGGCGGTTCCTTTAGCTCTGATCGGATGTCAGAATCATTTATGTTGAGTGGGATCCTGCAGTCCCAGGTAGGATCTAATGTTGTGGTCCTGCAGTCAAGATCTTGGGCGTCAGTATCACTTCTATGGGCGGGATCGAGGATATGCGAAAGATGCTCGGGGTATGTCTCGGCAGTAGAAGCATGTTCCAACTCCTCGAGCTAAACACCAGAGGAGATTTGTTTTGAAAAGTTAACTTACTTGTGGTCGGCCATCTCGCTAATGCGACTATCAAAAAGCATGAGTGACCACCAAAGTCGACGGCGTAGTTCTGCCTCAAAAATAGTGCTTTTAGCCAAAACTGACTCGCTATGAATGCCCATGCGTTGCGCGATGCGAATTGCAACGCCAAGCATTGCAGACAGAGATTGAGGAACTGTCCGAGGTCGAACTGAGAACTAACACCATCAACAACTGTAAAGGATATCATTGGTAGACATACTAGGTAGAGAAACAACGCGGTCAAGCAGTCGCGATCATCGGTCCTTAGAAACCCACAGTTTAGTAGAGCTTGCTGACAGCCGAATTGAAACCTCGTCAAAAGCTCTTCCTTAGATGAACCGAAAATGGCCTGGCAATCGTCTTCAATAAGGCTAACGGCCATGCAATAGATACTAAACAAGAGGGCTTCAAGGGCAGGGCTGATAGTCGCCACGTTGCTGACAGCTTCCACGATACGTCCTTGCAGACTGGGGGTATGTGTGACCTTGAGCAGTGGATTGACGTTGTCTAGGTAAACTTGCCAAAGCCGGAAGATCTGGACTGGGTTAGGATGTAGAGTAGAAAGGTCGATGTTTCCATTTTGGGAGCCAAAAAGAAGGTGGTCATTATCTCCATATAACTGAACCCAACCCTTTTGGAAGAACACCCCACGCATATCATCCTGTGAAGAGTCGCTATCATTACCAGAATCTCGGGACTATTTTGGTTGTCAGTAGAGCTTGAAACATAAGGTATGCAAGGTAGTCATACTCCTGAATTCAAGGAGCGCCAGTAATCCCTGTGAGAATCGGTTATCATGAGAAGACTTCTTCGAGAGCTGTACAGTACTTACATAGCTTCATGTACTCGTTCAGACTTGATAGATGTTGAAGGAGACGGACAATCCGCCTCGACAGCTCCTGGCTGCTCGTCTTCTGATTCATCACCACGACCACCGTGGGAGGTTGATGATTCCTTCTCTCCAGCATGTTTACCTTTGTGGAGCGGTTCAAAGTCAATATTATTTCGACTGAGCAGGTCTTCATACTTGCGGAGACGTTCCAGTAGCTCTCGCTCAGGGAATCTGGGTTTCCGCCGGCCGCGTTGCGTCAACGTCGCAGGGACACATTGTGCGCGAGAGGTATTGCAATTTGCGCAAGGAAACTTGCGATCACATTTGATTTTCCTCTGCTGGCAGCGTACGCATGCCAGTATCCGCTGTGGCTTCGAAGGTGCGCCAGGCGGAGACATGTCTGGGCTGGGCAAACCCCCCGTCATAGTTGCCGCTGTAGTCGAAGTACCCAGATATGTAAGGCACGTGACCATCTAATTCGAATGCCATAATACCTACCTAGGTAATTATATAAAGATTATAGTTGATTTGAAAGGCCATGTCTAATACTAATATGCACTGCAGTCTCCTGCTCAGAAATGGATTGGTGACGGTGACAAGGGAGTAGGCATGGGTATGTAGAAGCCCCGTAGTCACGTGTATTGTACGGGTTTTTACTAACTGTCCGAAAGCTACGGAGGTACATACCTCTATAATATTCCACTCCTCCACCATCATTCGGGTTCTTCACCCTCCCCGTTACAATTCCGAAATCGATCCACATCTAATTGTTGGGAATATGGATATACATATAAAAGAAAGTTCGCTGTTCCTCTGCACCGACTGTACCCTGCGGCCAGACAAAATCAACATTACCTAACGTACTCTCTGGTCGGATTGCACTCATTTATCTGCTCTTTTATTCCATTAATTTCCGCATAGAAATGTCAAAGAATACCTCCACGTTGTCCCAAATGTCTGCCGACCAGTCGCCTACAACAAACAAATCGGCTCAGCAGCAGTCAGTTGACGACGAATATGAGGATGCCGAAAAGAACTACCAGCCAAAGTCTTTAAAGTTCTGGACCCTCTTGGCCGGTGTATATCTGTCTATATTCCTTGTTGTGTTGGAAAAACTTATTATTGTGACCGCCATCCCAAAAGTCACCGACGAATTCAAGTTCATCGAAGATATCGGCTGGTATGGCAGCTCCTACATGTTGGCTGCCGCCTGTTTGTTTCCTATTTCCGCATTTACCAGCTCTACTCGACGAAGTCGGTGTTCCTCGCCAACCTTGTCATCTTCGAGGCAGGCTCGGCCCTCTGTGGTGCCGCTCCCAGCTCTATAGCCTTCATCATCGGATGTGCTATTGCTGGTCTGGGGTCGGCTGGCATCTTCACTGGCGGCATGATGGTCGTAATCCCACTCGTTCCCCTTCGCAAACGCCCAATGTTCACCTGGTCGGCACGTAAGATCATTGGCCTCCTTGTCGCCTTTGCCGTAATGTTCGTCATATTCGTCGTTGTCGAGGTTCTCACGCCAGAGACAGCAATGACGCCAACCCGAGTCATCGTGAATCGCTCTGTTGCTGGTAGCATGGTCTTCGTGTTCCTTCTCTCCGGGGCGCTGATGTCTATCATGTATTATCTGACGGTTTGGTTCCAAGCTGCTAAAGGCGATTTAGCTATAAGGTCTGGCGTTAGCACGATCTCTTTGACTAGGTAAACTCCCAATGGACGTTTGATTAGCGAGACCCTTTCCAACTGTCTCAAGCTGTATTGAATGTTTTTGTACATTGTGACGATTGGAAATCCGAGACGATTCTTTGTATTAGACGCGTGAATGGAGGTCTGTCCCCACAGACATAAGTAAAAGTATTTGCGGCTCATCCACTTGTGCGTCTGATCGTAGAGATCGTGATTTCTGTGAGGAAAGTATAAATATAGTAAACCTATCCATAAACAGAATTAACAAAATATCGGAATACCGAATTTCAGAGCATTGCAAGAACAAAAACATACCAGCTGGTAAGGTGTGTTGTGCATTTCGAACATGGCTTTTATCTAGGAAAGAATGCCTACTAGTACACCCGATGCTGTACATCTAGAAAAGGGAGTGGAGACAAATTGGGTGAAAAATAGAACAAGTACGCGAACTATTCACGCAATATTCCACCCAGCTCAAATAGTGACCTCCTTCGCACTTTCGAAACCCTTGAAACCCAACAAATTCTTTCCTGCTTCTGAACTACCCTTTATCGCTGGGAAAGCATATTCCCACATCTGGTCAACAAATTTTGTCATAGAACCTTCCGACGCACCCTTTTCGGCAATGATACGACCAAGTAATGAAGCATCAGCTAAAGCAGTATTTGCCCCTGATCCGCCAGCGGGCGTCATTGCATGAATAGCATCGCCTATCAAGACTACATTTGCAGATGGGGACCACTCGGGACGCTCTGGTTTTGCCGAAACTAGCCGTAGTGGGGCACTTTGAGCAGTATTCTGGAGCTCGAATATAGGCTTGAAAGACGGGTCCCAATGCGAAGTGAGCTTTAGAGTCAGATCCGCGACATCTTTTCCTGAGAGGTTATGGAATTCTGCATCCGGCAGTCCGAATGCGGTAACCTTGGGCTCGAACAGAAGGAGAGGCATCCCTTTCGAAGAGCGTAAACGAGATGCCTTTCTATTTGAGATTTTGACCAAGGGCAAGGCCACCCACCCCGCCCCCAACAATGAGGATATGAGAGGAAGACATGTTAAAAAGTGTTTGAGAGTTCGTTTTTGAAAGCAATAATTGGCAGATGGTCTTAAGTTTGAAACTAACGAGTGGAAAAATGGTGGCGAGAATGATGTTCAATTGAATGATAGTGAAACTGAGGAGTGAAAGCTGTAGAACAGAAAGAAAGAAAGAAACTAGGAAGGGAGTTCCCAGGAGGCATCTATATATACCTCAAAAGCTAGCTACTCTATAGCATTCGCCTATAATCCTGTGCTATAAATGATCTCATGTCAGTTCAGTTTCACGCATTGAAATTACCGAAGCGAAGTCTATTTTCCGAGCCTACTCAGAGTATTACTTCCGATGCGGAATGTTGAAGTCTATAACTTTAGTGTTGCGGACTTGAGGAGACCTTTTTTTTTTTGTACAGGCTCCGATACTCCTAACTGGTGATGGTAGAGAAGTCTGTGGAGGTGAAGTGTAGAGAAGAGGGAGGAGGGAGGAGGAGGGAGGGGCGACCTCTCCACGTAAGAAAAAAGTGTCGGAATAGACAAGCGAGTTTTGGTGCATCTATTCCGCCACTTTTTTCTTCGGTGGAGAGGTCGACGTCGACACATCGAGGCGAGGTCAAGCAGTTTCTCGCTTGGCTGGTCTGACGCTGGCTGGCTGGCCTGGACCAAAACAACGCGTGCATCAACGCGTACTGTAAAAATACATAACTCACCAACATTGAAGTACAACCCACCACGAATATATTTCGAAATGCGATAGACTGGAATCAAGGAGCTTCGAACTGCCCCTTTGAAATAACCTCTAATTACACGCTACAATGCCTCGTCCAAAGCGCACAAAGGTCGCGCCCTCTGCGCCTGCCCCGCGTGTTAGAAAGGCGGCCCCCCAAAAAACCACACCCGCTGTCAACACAGCTGTTAGTGCTCCGAAAGCACAGTTCGATGACCTGTACGATGTCAGCGATCCCGAGGACCGAGGAGTGAGGACTGTGCGACCTGTTAAGAAGGACAATGGCAAAGTCAAGGGAAAGGCAGCTGTGGAATCGCGTGCACGCGCAGGGAAGGGGGATATCCCGCTTCAATACAAAAAAGAAACAGCCGAACAGAGTTGGGCAATAGGGAAAATAGCATGGTTTCCCCCATCGAAGATAATGGTTCTGACGATATTGAGCATGGATCAAAAAGTCCTGAGATCGAGGTTGGACGGAGAGAGAGGAACACGCCTGCCGTGGAAAATTCATCGCTTGCAATTGGGAACTTCAGAAGAAGAGCGCGTCAACCGAGCATCCTCGGTCGCGGTGCTGGGCGAGCGCGATCTAGTAGTGTTGAATCGAATCTGGCAGACGACAACGGTCTTACAGGTGTGGGCAGGACGAATACATCACTTTTAGCTACCGGCAATTTTAAAAGACGACCGCGACAGAATAGTATTCTGGGACGAGATACAACGGCAATAGCACCGAGCAGTATGGGTCTAGAGATAAGCACACCTGCGAAGGTTGGTTCAGCATTGAAACTTGGCAACTTCAAGAGGAGGGCGAGGGCACCAAGTATTCTTGGAACGGCTCAAAAGGCGCGGCAGCAGCCAGACTATGACGATGAAGACGAAGATGATTTCAATCCTGAAGATGAGTCGACGCCGTTGAATAAAACCAAGACGAGGAACTTGACGAGCTCTTCATCTGCATCAGCGTCAAATTCAAAGAAGCGCAAATTACCATCAGTTCAGGCCCCTCAATCAACTCCCATTTCGCGTTCTCCTGAAGCAGATGAGGATGAGGAACGCATACCTGCGACTGTATCCGTAATCAATGACGGAGAAGAACATGAGGAGAATCATGCGCCGTCTTCACCGCAAGAACCTCCTATGTCTCATGTCGAATCACGCTCCGTAACTCCCGAGCCCATGAGCGAGACCATGGCACCACCACAAGGTAGTAGTTCTGTCGCTTCTAGCCCTGAACCTCCCTTGCCAACAAGAAGACCTGTCTCCCGCGGCCGGCGGCAATTGAGAGGCAGTACACCCCCACCAGCAACATTAGACTCTCCCATATCCTCTCCACCATCTCTGACACACTCTCCAAATCGACTCTACATGACCGCAAAGCCAAAAGGAAAGAAGGAAGCGCCACCTACAAGTACCTTCTCTACGGCTCAGCTACAAGCTCTCCTTCCACGAAGACGGCGGCAAACGACCCGTGACCCCTTCGACATTCCGACCTCGGAAGACGAAGCCGAAGAAACCAACCTCGCGTCTGATGAGGACGAGCTATCTCATATGAATGTCCGCGCACGAAATCGACGAAGCGTCTTTGCAAGAACCCCTGCACCATCCAAAAAAACCACCCAGGCAAAACGACCACCGAAGTCAAATACCAAACAGACATATGCTTCTCGTGCAACAGTAACATCCGACAAAGAGAACGAGGTTGATCCAGACGATAGCTTGGCGCCTTTGCCGGACAATGATGGTAATGCAAGTCCGGAGAATAGTCAGGAGATGGAGGAGAGACTAGGAAAGGAGTTGAAGAAGGCGGCGAGGAAATTCCAGGAGGTTGACAAGTGGGAGTTGGAGTTTGAGGATGTTACTGGCAGTAGCTCACCCAAGGACGCTCGGTGACCTCTTATCAAGAAGGGGAAGACAATGTGTTAATTGCTTTATCAGGACTTTCAGGTTCATGGCTTGTTTGTTGGAGTACTCAAGGGGGGCTGGATGTGGCATGCATTACAAGGAGCACGGAGGGGCAGGTCTGTTTTCTGTCCAAGTATTGGCAGCACTTTGCATAGTTTTCTATCGCACGCTTTTCACGCACATTGCGTTAAAACCATTATGATGTCTTCCATCTCTTATATGTCTTACCAACTCCCAAACACCGTGCCAGATTTTAACATACCCTTCATAACGGACTCGGCGTAACAGGTCGACTTTCCCTCTCAAAGAAACTGATATTCTCCCGCAACGCAACATACTCACTATCCGCATACCCCAAGCATCCCTCGATTTCTGAACTCCTCACACCTTTGATCCGCGCAATCTCTATCGCGCTATAATTCACCAATGCTCTCCCAACTTCCACACCCGGCCCTCTCCACAATTTTCCATTATCCTCCGGCTTCACATCTTCGGCCTTGATGCGGTCTACGACTACTAGTCGAACGGCTTCTTGTTGAGCGAATGATCCTTCAACGTCAACAACGCCTACGGGGAGAAGACCGGCTTTATTAGACAGTGCCCGTCGCGCGCCGGAGTCGATGTACACTGTCCCGTGTGGTGCCAGGCCATGCAGGATCCAGAAATAGCGGTCCCGGATGGGTTGTGCGGAGGGTATGAATCTCGTATGTAGCGGGGCTGGTATACTCAGGGCAGCAGTTACGCTTGCTAGACTCGCTGTGGAGTGGGATGGCGTTATGGTGGTTCTTGGGGGGGTGGCAATGTCCGGGGTAGAGGTGGAGGAGGATGACTTGATGGCTTGGATGTAGGAGACTATGTTTGCTATGTTGCCAGGGTTGCTGGAGCGCGTTATTATAGTTGTTACGCCGGCGGAGGTGGCGAGGCGCGCAGCTACTATTTTGGTCGACATACCGCCTGTGCCTAGGGCGGAGCCTGCGCTGGAGACTGGGGGGATGGTTGTTAATATGCTTGTTTGGGAGGTTCAGGGGAG